ATGCCTGGCTGACTCAGTCAGAAGAGCGGGCGACTCTTGATCTCAGGGTTGTGAGTTTGAGCCCCATGTTGGCTATAGAGATTACTTAAAATCTTAAAAATAACATAACACTAGGACACCTGGGTGGCTCAGCCGGTGACGTGGCCGCCTTCTGCTCAGGTCATGATCCCAGGGTCCTGGGATCGAGTCCCACATCGGGCTCTCTGCTCAGCGGGGAGCCTGCTTTTCCTTCTGCCTGCCACTCCCCCTGCTTGTGCTCCTTCTCTCTCTGATTTAAAAATAAATAAATAACATATTTTTAAAATAACATAACATAAATAAATCAAATCAAATTAAATTAAATTTCCTTCTGGCCACCGTGTGGGCATGGACTGGAGGGCATCCCCTGGACTGGAAGCTGGGAGGCAGTGGAGGCCGGGCTGGACCAGGATAGGGCCATGGAATGGGAGGATGGTGGAGGGGCATGGGAGGGGCAAGGGAGGTGACCAGGATGGGACTCAGGGCTCTAGCCTAGGGACTGGGGAGGACCATGATGGCCCCCTGTAATGGGTACTAGGAGGAGGAGCAGGTGTGGGGGAGATGCTGTGGCCAGTTTGGGACACCATGGGAGTGGGACCGCAAGAGGAGGCATCCAGCACAAAGCTCCGAGCTCCCCCGAGCTCCAGAGGGAACAAAATACTGGGTGTGACCCCATAGTCCTCAACCAGCGATAGCCCAAATGCCCATCTTTGGCATTTCACTTTCCTATACCTTGCCACGTATCCATGCATCACCCATGTACTTAGCTACTGGATAGTTTTCTTGAAATCTACTCAGATTTTTTTTTTTAATTCAACACCTCTATTTAGACAGGAAATGTTAGGGGTGCCTGGGTGGCTCAGTAAGTGTCTGCCTTCGGCTCAGGTCATAGTCCCAGGGTCCTGGGATCAAGCCCCACATTGGGCTCCTTGCTCAATGGGGAGGCTGCTTCTCCCTCTGCCTGCTCTGCCCCCCTGCCACCCAGTTCATGTGCCTGCATGCTTGCTCTCTCTCTCTCTCTCTCAAATAAATAAATAAATAATCTTGAAAAAAAAACAGGAAATGTCATTCCACTCTAGGAGGTGGAAAAGCAGTATCACCAGCTATAAATAGAATATAGCAGTAGGAATAAATCCAATGACTCAGCAAGAACCAAGGAGAGGTGCTACAAGCATTGGGTGAAAGGCTATTGGGGACAGGTCCTTCGCAGGGTCCCAGGGTCCCACCCACAGATGACATAACTCAGAGAGGCAGAGATCTGGCAGTCACTTCCCACCACCAGCAGAATTGTGACCCTCCCTTCCAAATTCATATGTTGAAGTCCTAACCCAAAGTTCCCCAGAATGCAACTGTGTTTGGAGCAAGAGCCTTTAAAGAGGTGATTAATTTAGAGGCGCCTGGGGGGCTCAGTCAGTTAAGTGTCTGTCTTTGGGTTCAGGTCATGATCCCAGGGTCTTGGGATCGAGCCTAGAGTCTGGCTCCCTGCTTGATGGGGGGGTCTGCTTCTCTCCCCCCAACCCCCGCCACTTCTCTATGTGGCTCTCTCTCATTCACATAAATAAATAAAATCTTTTTGTAAAAGGTGATTAAGTTATTAATTTAAAATGAAGTCGTATGGGTAGCCCAGGGCGATATGAATGGCGTGCTTATAGGAAGAGATTGGGAACTAATGTAACCGGGCCAAAGGGAAGGCCAGGTGAAGACAAAAGGAGAAAATGGCCATCATCAAGCCAAGGAGAGAAGCATCAGAGGAGACCAAACCTGCCAAGGCCTTGATCTTGGACTTCCAGCCTCCAGCACTGTGAGAAACCGCATTTCTGCGCTTTAACCGCCCCATCTGTGCTTTTTTATTACGGCGCGTTGATCCGACCAATACAGTTCTTCACTCCACCAGTAGTTAGCCCTGCCCATCAGGGGGCCCCCTAGGGGATGTCCTGAGAAGGACGCAGCCTACTTCCAGGGTGTACTGGAAGCAGGGCTGGAATCTAATAATGAGGAAATCCAGAAACTGGGACTGCCCGCAAGACCTACCCAAGAAGAGAACAAAGCATGGTGAAGCCGCTTAGCCGACTGAGCCACCCAGGCGCCCCGAGGACATACTGCTTTAGTGAAATAAGCCAGTTAACTGAGAGACTGTACGATTCCACTTAAATGAGACATCTAAGAATCATGAAAACCATGCTAACAGAAGGGAGAATGGTGGTTACCAGGGGCGGGGGAAGGGGAAATGGGAGTTGTGATTGATGGGCATAGTTTCAGATTTACAAGACGAAGACTTTCAGAAATCTGTTACACAACCATGTGTATATATTAACACTATCATAGCAGTGTAAATACAGTTAACACTAATATAACACTAACACCAAAAAATAGTGAATACAGTTAACACTATTATAACTCTAATTAACACCTAAAAATAGTTAAGAGGGTAAATTTGGTATTATATGATTTTTACTACAATTATAAAAAATACATATCTACATAAATGCATAATAAATCAGGGCACCTGGGTGGCTCAGTCAGTTAAGCATTCACGTTTGGCTCAGGTCACAGTCCTGGCATTCTGGGATCAAACCCCTCATCGGGCTCCTTGATCAGTGGGGAGTCTGCTTCTCCCTCTGACTGCTTGGGCTCTGTCTGTCTGTCTAATAAGTAAATAAAATCTTTTAAAAAATACATAATAAGTAAACACAATGAAATTCTTGGTGCCCTGCTTGCTCTGAAGGTTCTTGAAAAGGGAGATGATGGTCCCCTCTGTCTCCTGGGATTCAGCTCCCTCACTTAGTTCTGTATGAACCTAAGACCAGAGGCCACATCCTGTCGTTCCCCCATCCCTGCTTGCTGACTCACTGCCCGCTGCAGCCATTTTGAGCTTTTTGGTTTTTAAAAACAATCGCCAAAAAACCCTTTCCTGGCACATTTTTTGGATGACGTCTAAAATTACAGAATTTTGGTCGTTATGAAATGCAAAATGTCAATTGTAATGGCAATCTGTCTCTCTCTCTGTGAAGTGGAGTGAGGGGATTTTTCTACTTTTCTAGTTAATTCCTGCATCAGTAGATGCATATCCCTTGTTGCGGGAGTGAGACTGGGCTGGGTATTAATTCTACTCCATTTTTCTCTTTTTCATATTAAGTGCTGAATAACTGTTGAATTTCCTGTGGTTGCTGTGACAAATGACTACGGACTCAGTGGCTTAAGATGACAGAAATGTCTTCTACTGTTCTGGAGGCTAGAAGTCTGAAATCAGTATCACTGGGGTGAAATCAAGGTGTGGATGCCCCCCACCCCTGCCTTCTGGAGGTGCTAGGAGAGCATCCTGTCTGGGCTTCTCCCAGCATCTGGTAGCTGACCACTCTTTCTTTCTTTCTTTCTTTCTTTCTTTCTTTCTTTCAAGATTTATTTACTTTTCCTTGAGTGAGAGAGGGCGAGAGCATGAGGACATGAGTGGGAGGGGCAGAGGGAGACAGAGCTAGAATCTTAAGCAGGCTCCCCACTGACCTCAGAGCCTGATGCAGGTCTCCATCTCACGTCCCTGAGATCACGACCTGAGCCAAAACCAAAACCCTGATGCTTAACTGACCGCTGCCCAGGTGCCACCCTGATGGCTTTCCTTGCCTTGTGATCACCAACTCTCCAACCTTCCAGGCCGGCATCTTCAAATCTCTATCTGCTTGTCTTTCCATCACCTTCTCCTGTTAGTGTCAAATCTCCCTCTGCTTTCCTTCTCTAGGGACACGTGTATTGCATTTAGAGCCCTCCCCCAGATCATCCAGAACAGTCTCCCCATTTTAAGATCCTTCATTTAAAAACCGGGCCAAAGACCCTTTTCCAAATAAGGTAATGTTCATGGATTCCAGAGATTAGGACAGGAATAGCTTTTGGGCAGCTATCTTCAGCCTTCCACAGAAACTCTGTCACTGAATCATTAAGCCAGTATTTACTGAACACCTGCTGGGTGCCAGGGATTTGTCTAGGCACTGAAAATAGAGCTGTGCCCAAGACAGAAGCCGCTACCTCCTGGAGCTGACATTCCAAGGCCACCCTCCAAAATGGTAGCTCCAAGCCCTGTGTGGTGGCTACTGAGAACTTGCAATGGGACTGGTCCCAGCTGAGATGTGCTGTAATATAAAACACACACTGGATTTTGAATATTGTGCACATACGCAAAAAAACGTTACACAGCACAATAATTTTTGGATTTTTTAAAGGATTTCTTCTTAATTTTTCCGTAATCTCTACACCCAATGTGGGGCTCAATTCACAACCCTGAGATTAAGAGTCACATGCTCCACCGACTGAGCTGGCCAGGTGCTCCTAATTTTCAGATGTTGATTACAGGTTGAAGTGATAATCTTTGGGACATATTGGGTTCAATCAGGTAGGCTGTTAAAATTAATTTCACTTGCTTCTTTTTAGTTTCTTGTAATGGAGTTATTGGAATACTTATAATTACGTATATAGCTTGCATTGTATCTTTTTTTTTAAGATTTTATTTATTTATTTGACAGACAGAGATCACAAGTAGGCAGAGAAGGGGGGGGGGAAGAAGGCTCCCTGCTGAGCAGAGAGCCCGATTCAGGGCTTGATCCTAGGACCCTGGGATCATGACCTGAGCCGAAGGCAGAGGCTTTAACCCACTGAGCCACCCAGGCACCCCTTGCATTGTATTTCTGTTGGGTGACCTAAGGGGAGGGAGCCTACGGACAGTTGCCACAATAAATAAGTACATATTATGGTATGTTAAGAAGTGATTATTTTATTTTATTTTTAGAAAAAATTTTTAGATGTTTTTGTTTATTTATTAGACAGAGATCACAAGTAGGCAGAGAGAGGCAGGCAGAGAGAGAGAGGAAGCAGGCTCCCCGCTGAGCAGAGAGCCCAATGTGGGGCTCGATCCCAGGACCCTGAGATCACCACCTCAGCCGAAAGCAGAGGCTTAACCCACTGAGTCACCCAGGCGCCCTGGAAGTGATAATTTCTATGGAAAATAAAGTTCAGGGTAAGAGAGTGTATTTGCTTCCTGTTGCTTCTGTTAACAAATTACCACAAACTTACCAGGTCAAAAAACCCACAAATTTATTATTTTGCAGTTCTAAAGGTCAGGAGTTCAAAATAGCTCTTCCCGCCTAAAATCAAAGGCCGAGTCTTCGGTAGGTTCCAGGGGAAAATCCACTTGTCTGTTTCAGCTTCTAGAGGGTGCCTGCTTTGGTTCCCAGCCATATCACTCCACCCTCTGCTTACAAAATCCCGTCTCTTTCTCCGACTCTGCCCCTCCAGCCTCCCTCTTGCAAGGACTCAGAGAGATTATACTGGGGCCCCAGAATGATCCAGAATAATCTCCCCATGTCAAGATCCTTGATTTAGTCACATGGGTAAAGTCGCTTTGACCATGTTTACAGATTCTGGGGATTAGGAAGGAGCCATCTTGGGCAGGGGGAAGGGGCAAACCAGAGGGGGTTCTGTTCCTGGGAACCCTTCCTTCTCCCTGCACCTAAGCCAACAGGGGTTAGAAGTTGGTGCCATCCTGGGGCCCCTGGAATCTTGCCTGAGGAGCAGGAGGGTTTGAGACCCCTCGCCATCATTGGTCTCTGGGCACAGGGTCTCTTGCCCAAGGTTCCTCAAAGGGCAGGCTGACCTGTGGGGAGGGGCAGGAGGCTAGGTGAGAAAGGCAATGGGTACAGCGCTCCTCTTCACCCGCAGTCGGGAGGGACGATCACCTGGGCTCTGGCGTGGTCTTGCCTGTCCTGTCTGTGCAGTGTCCGCCGGCTGTGCCACTGGCGCAGGGAGGCACGAGCCTCAGAGCTGAGCCCCTGGGGTGCGCGGCCCGCATCCGGCTGGTAGTGAGCGATGTGGTACAGCGCCCCAAACCACGTGGTCAGGTAGTACCCGGCTAGGGACAGGACGGGGCGGTCAGTGCAGCTCTCTGGCAACCCTGGTCCCCCCAGGTCTCCCTGCGGCTTGTCCACCTTGTCCGACGCCGCAGGACGAGGCTGTTGGGCCCCTAGGGCGCCCCCTGTTAGTTCCCGGCGTTTCTGGGGTGGGGACTCACCTTCTCCCCGTAGCTCCTCCGGATCCAGCAGCTCCATTAGAAACTCCACGTCCAGCTGCGTCTCCCCAATGTGCGGACTCCAGATCAGTTCTTCCGTCAGTGCGGGCAGGAAGGCGTCGGCCCCCAGGGGCTCTGGCGGAGCGGGAGGACAGGCTTTGAAGCGGATCCCCGGGACATGGGTGCTGGCTGCCCTTCCACCTTGTTAGGCATGCAAACGCCTCCTACCCGATCACCAGGCCTCTAACCAGATCACCAGACGTCTCCCGCTAGAGCGTGCCACCCTCTCCCCTCGACGTGCACACAGGCACCTCCCACCCGGCAAGCTACCGCACATCCAGGTGAACGCAGGTGAACCTCCTTTACCTTGGTTCTCGCCCTGAGCCAGGCCTGCGTAAACGTCAGTGCACACCGCCAGCAGCAGCGCCACCTTGCGGCGTGGAGCGCAGGCAGCGTGGAGGTGCTCCAGGCGCGCGTGGATGCGGCTGCGCAGGGCTGGGGCCGGGGGCCCCTCAAGCCCCGCCCCCTGGCATCCCGGAGGCCCCGCCCCCACCCGCAGGGCTATTTGTCGCTGCCTCAGTCGCCGCAGTTCCTGGGCTCGGAGTTTGCGGAGTCGCGCCCACAGGGCAGGCTTCAACGGCGCCAGCACCGCCCGGCACAAGGCCGCCTCCACCGCAGCGCCTGCGAGGGGTTGGGGTGGGTGAGCGAAGGGCTGAAGGGCTGACCCCCGCCCCGAGGCCTGAGTACCACCCCGCTCTGGCCTCTGACCCCCCACAAGTGTAGACACGGGTGAGAGAACACATGTGGAAGAGGGAGCCTGGGTGTGAACACGCTCATGGAAGAGGGAGTGCGGGTGTCACACATGCGAGAGACGGAGCAGTGGTGAATGGAACAGGAGTTACTCTATGTAGGAAAAGGCATGTGAGTGGCTAGGCAAACAGGTGCACGGAGATGGAGAGAAAGAAGTTGGGTGTGGACACACAGGTAGCGCCAAGGGATGGCACACGAGAACCCGAGTGGGGTCAGGGAATGGCCATAAATTCCCTTCCAGCCCTCCTTATTACCAAGATCATCGTCCTTCTGGGGGACCGCAGGCCCCCTGCTCCCAAAAACAGCCCTGACATCGGGGTCCTTTGATAAGTGGTCCTGGAGGTCAGTAAGGAGGTGGCGCACATCCTGAAGCAGCTCTGTGGCAGGGTCCCCAGGCCTGAGGGGGCCCCTGGCATTTGAGGTGAGGCGCGCCCGAAGGCTCTGGAACTGCCTGCCCACGTAGTTGCCCCGGGCCCTGGCCAGAGCTTGAATGTGATGGGTGAGCACATCCTCGGGGCCATTCTCTTCATCTTTGTAGTCATCCGCATTTTCATCCTTGTCCTCGTCCTCCTTCTCTTTCTCCTCCACCACGCTGGCCAGGGCTGGCCCAGGATGGTGTACTTCCGGGCTGAGTGGGCCTTCCACCCAGGAGACCCGGTGAGGAGCAGGGTTCCTGGGGGCTGGATGTGAGGAGAGAGTTGGGCCCCACAGAACAGCAGCAGCAGCTCCCTTGTCCCTCAGGGGCCCAGGGCCCTGTCCAGCCCAGCTCACCGGAACTGTGTCTTTCTGCAGTTTCTGGAGGTGTCTCTGGGGGGATCTGCTCCTTCCCCCACCCTCCGTGAGTCTCCAGGTAGAGCTTGTTCACCATGGAGAGCACCCTTTCCGGGACATTGAGGTGGACACTGCCAGTCTGTGGGGGACCTGGGGACCAGCATAACTGAGGTGTCCCAGATGTCCAAGAACCCAGCCCTGCTTCCTTCAGGGCACTGGGAGACTTAATTTCCAGGCTCATTACTGGCTTGGTCCCTGGCCCCTTGTCAGTCAGGCCCAGGAGTCAAATCTCCCATAGCTCCCTCACCTCCATTTTATTCTCCCACAAACCCAGTAGTCTGGTTCCTGAAGGGCCATCCTGCTGGACCAAGGAGCCTGGAAAGTGGCTTCCCCCTCCCTTAGGGAGCCATCCCTCACCTGTGTGTTGGTCTCCAGGCCTTAGAGTGGGAGGGGGCAAGAGCAGTGTTCTGGGCAAAACATCCCTGAGAAAAGGTAAGAGGGAGCTGCAGTGTGGATGGGATGTCTTAGGGATGGAACCCCCTTAGCCCTTCTTATGGGGAACCTGTACCTGCTGGCTGATAGGAAGGCCAGGAGATGGGGCAGGTCTGGCATGCAGAGGTTAGAATATTCCAGAGACACACCTGGGGGGAGGGGGCAACAAGGGGCAAGGAAGAAAAAAGTTAAGGATGGCAGCCTCATTTTCCCTGGGACTCTCTCTTCCTCAGTCCTGTAATCTCCCCCAAAATCTTCAAAACAGGGAAATTTCTACCCTTTGGAGTTCCCGTCTTTTCCTGTGACTTTATGTTTGCATCCCACTTATGGCACCAAATAGCATTTGGGAGATATTTTGGAAGCAAAGCTGATTAAATTTACTGTGGGCTGGAATCTAGGGGTAGGCTCCTCACCGCCAGGAAGCTTCTGGATCTGGTAGGTGTGGATTTCTCCTGGTGAAGCTCCTGTCCTCAACACCAGGACCTGACTGGGGTCATGTCCTGTGACCAGGAAGCTCTGGGGTGGGGTGGGGGGAATGGAGGCAAAGGTCATCTTTTTTTTTTTTTTAAGTTTCATTTAAGTAATCTCTACTCCCAGTGTGGGACTCGAACTCACAATCCTGAGATCAAGAGTTGCCCGTTCTTCCCACTGAGCCAACCAGCCCCCCCCCCCAGGCAAAGGTCATCTTGAAAGGGATTTGTGCAAATATCTGTTACTTTTGCCTACCCAGTGTCCATTTCCCTTATTTTAGATTCCATACCCCAAATTTCTTTCAAAGAAACCCTCTCCCTCCCTTCGTCCCTGTGGGTTGGACTAACTCCCTCCAAGCCCTAGGGATGGTCCTGTGACCTGACCTAGCCAATAGGATGACAGTACTTTCTCATCACTGTGATTGCTTCAGAGATGGGAATGTGAGTCAAGGCTAGTCAAGGGAAATCTTCCACAAGATTTTTGCTGAGCTCTTTGGAAGGGAACCTCTTTTTACACTGGGATGGCTAAACCTGTGGGATGTGGCCACGAGCTGGGGACAGTCATCTCTGGCACCACAAGGACAGAGCCTCCCTGTGAAGGAAGCTGTGTAGACCAGCTAGTTGCCTTATCCAAGTCCATCCCTATCCCTTGTAGAATTATAGCCTTGTTCTGGCATAATCTGCCCAGCCAGAGAAGGTGGATGATGATGTAGGCAGTGTTTCTCACTTCTGGGTTTATAACTCCCGTGTGAGTTTAAAAAAAATATTTCCACATGGGCCCCATCCATGTATTTTGAATCTATTGTAAAGACTTTTGGTTTTCCTGGTGCAATTGGTATTTCCTTTGTTTTCTTCCTCCTGCCTGGAGCGCATACATGTATTTGGACCTGGGGCGGGCAGCCACCTGGCAACAGTGAGGGGCATCCAAGAGAATGGCAGAGAATCTGGCCTTGATGTTTCTAGGGCTGCTGGACAGAGCCTGTGGCCGCCTTTCTGGATATGTCAGAAAGATAAAAGCCTATTTGCCTAAGCTACTGTAGAATAAGTGTTTGTTCTTTGGGCTTTCCCCACAGTTGAAGCAAAGCCCAGAAATGGGATGGGGAGAGATTTATAAGTTGTCTAATGCTCAGGTCCAGACATTCCTGAAATTCCCTTCACTTCTGGGTTTTTTGGTCCCTGGAATCAGTAAGTAGTCTTTTCAGTTTTTCTGGTTTGTGGTGTTTGTTGCCAGGAATCAGCAGAGTCCTGACTGGTTTGTGGTGACCCGGGGAGGGTCAGAGAAGGTCCCTGGCTGTGAGTACTCACCCCCAGAGGCCACAGCTCAAGAAGGGCTTCTGCATCCTGGATATCCAGCTCTGGGATCTGCCACACCCCCCACGTCCTCCAGAGGCGAAGGAGTGGCTCTGGGGTCCCAGGGACCCCTATGGGGGTCTCACCTGCTCCATTCACCTGTGATGGAACCCATCTGGGACATGCAGAGTCCAGGAGACAAAGGATTAGAGGTGGGCAGTGGGACACTGAGGTGGGGGTCAAAGGTGCAGGAAGGGGCAGCCAAGGGATGAGATGGCATTCAGGGTCTTCTGGGGGGTGGTGGGCATTGGATGGAAGGGGTTTCTGAAGCTAGGGCAGGAGTTGGAGACCCCAACCCCAGCAGCCCTCACCTCTCCCCGTTGATGGGGACTGCAGAGGCCTCGTCTTCCAGCTGGGCCATCCTCAGGATGCAGGAGGCCAGCAAGCCATGGCCTGGCCTCTGGCAGGGAGGAAGATAAGGCTCAAGGTGGCTCCAATCCAGGGGTAATCGTCAACAGACTTACAACCAATATGGCAGAAACCCTGACCAATCAGAATGGACCCAAGGCCCCTTGCTATGGCGGGTGTTAATTCTTTAGTCTCAGGAGGGTGGGCGAGATCTGGGGATCCCAGGAGGGAAGCCAGTGGGTCTTGGCAGGGAGGGGGGAAAGAAAAGGACCCAGATGGACAGCTATTTACCGAGAGATGCAGAAATATTTCAGCTTTTGACAACCAGTGCTGCCATAATACAGACGGGGACCAGTTGGATACCAGCCCTTGCCAGAACCCAGCACCGGAACGGATGCTCAGCCCACAGAAGGAGTTGTCAATGTGACCTATCTTATGCAACATCCTCTCTTCCTCCCTTCCCAGACCACAGGGGGGGACCTCAAATATTCCCTCCTCAACGTTTCACACGGGACATTTTCAAACATCCAGAAAACCAGAATTTGACGGGTAACATTGTATATCCGCTACCAAGATGTTACTGCTAGCATTTTCTTTTTTGCTTTATAACGCATCTGTCCCTCTGTCCGTTGGACCTCAACTCTTCAACTAGTACACAGTCCTAGCTAGCATGAGTTCTCTCTCAAGGTGGGCCTTTTTGAGTATTTTCCCTGCCAGCAATGCCAGGAGTAGGACCCCTGGGTCCATTCATCTGTGCACCAAACGACAGATTCTTAATAAGGAGAGGCCCTGACTGGGTGTCCTGTGGAAAGAACGGGCACCTGCCTTCGCGGGGTGATATAGGAGATGGGTAACCAACAGCTGAACAGATCAATCAGCCCGCTGCCTAGAAACCCAGGGTTTTAGGAAGGGTGGGGACGGTGAGCAGGTGCCCTGCCCAGAGCATGCAGGGGGGGGGGGGGCAGGGGGGGGGACGCTTGCCTGGGCGCCCGGTGGATGCGGGGGGGGGGGGGGGGGGGGCAGCAGCCTGGTACCAAAGGGAGGCAGTGGGGGTGACAATACCAGCCGCTAGGTCCCTGGGGACCCCTACCTGTTCTCTGAAGGGAGGCCGGGAGGAGCAGGAAGTGAAAGTGTTCCTCATAGAGAGAGGAAGCTGGGCGGGCCGGGGGGGGGGGGGGGGGGGGGGGGAGAGGCGGGGCTGGGGGGTATTTGAAATCGACCTTCCTCTCTTTCGGGGGGCTCAGGATTTAGGTGACTGGGCTTTGGAGGAAGGAACTCTGGCAGTCTGGGAGTCTGGGGGTAAGAGCTGTGGGGCTCTCCTGCAGCCCCCAGAGTCCCCTGTCAACACCCTTGGCTTTCTCTCCTAAGAGCTTGGTGTTCTGGTTTCCTGGACCCCCTCCCTCCAGCTGCTTCCCTGTGTGCCCACAGAAAGGAACAGGGAGGCTGGACAGTTGATTGTTAGTTGTTTTTGTTTTTAATTTGTCTCCAATGAGCAACATTGTCAGCCCCTCCCGGCAGGGGAAGAGGGTCCCAGAGGGAACGGGTCCAGCACCCACTTTGGGAGTGGGAGGCCCAGACTTGGGAGGCCTTCAGGCTCAGCTCCCCACAGAGGGTGTTAGGTTTGGAGGGTCCACACTCCACCAGGGTACGTTAGACTTGGCCAACCTGGGCACAGGCCCCTAGGAGCGGCAGAGGACATGGAGAGCCCTGGGGAGGCCTGGGGCCCCTGTCAGGAACAGTTAGAAGTTTAGAGGCAGTCCTGGCCCTGGGAGCAGTTAGAGATTAGCGGAGGTTGATCCCCGTCCCCGCAGGTGGTTAGAGACTCCGGGCTGTTACAGCCGGGCTGCCCAGGCCTCAGCTCCTGGGTGCTGTTAGAGGTTTGCCAGGGTCAGGGGGCGGGACCTCAGTTTTGAGAGGGGGTGGTTAAGAGACTAGGGCAATGTTCTGAGCTCCCCAGACAAGAGCTGCAAGTTAGAGGGGGCCAGGGCTGGAGGGGCTCTGCGAGAGTTCTGCCCAGGAGTTCTGCCCAGGAACCACAGCTGTCACTGGGGCCGCTCTCCCTCTGCGGTCCTGGCCTCCTCCTTGGCGGGAGGTGGAGACTTCCTGGGAGAAGCTGAAGTGTTGGGGTTGGGGCTGGGGCTCCCCGATCCTGCCTGGGAGTCAATGCTGGCATGCTCCTTCCGGACGAGGTCCTCCAGCTCCTTCTGCAGGGGGCAAAGTTCACAGAGGTCAGAGGTCACCATGCATCATGGAGTCAGAGGATCTGAGGGTCAGGGGTCTAGGGGTGGGGCTCCAGGTGGGATGGGGTGGCCCAGACTCCTTACCTTCCATCCGAGGAGGTCGGCAAGAGCCAGGCAGCCCTGGTCACAGTCACCCAGCCAGGCTACGTCTCTGTGGGTGGGAGAGTCAGAGCTCCTGGGCTTGTCCCCGGCCCCTGCCTGCCCTTCCCAGTCAGTGTGCCTTCCCGCCTTCCCTCCCACCTCGGCTGAGACCCTCGCAGGCCCAGGACTCACCTGTAGGCCTTCTTGGAGTCGAAGTCCATGCCTCCTCCGAGGCCCATCATCATCCCCAGGAAAGGGTCAGTCTGGGGGGGGGGGGGGGGGGGGCGGGGACAGCTCAGAACACAGACCCTGGACCAGGTGGCCTGGCTCTGTTCCCTGCTCTGTGACTTTACTCAAGTGACCTGGCCTCCCTGAACCTCAGTTTCCTTATCTGTAGAGTGGGGGGCTATCACCAAACTGTTCCTAACAGGGTACTATCAGTGGGTGAATACTTAGAAAGTGCTTTGGGGCGCCTGCCGTCTCAGTCAGTAGAGCACGTGACTCTTTAATCTCAGGGTTGCGAGTTCAAGCCCCATGCTGGGCGTGAAGCCTACTTAAAATAATAAAATAAATAAATAAAACAAAGTGCTTGGAACAGTGCCTGGCCCATGGCATGTTTGGCCTGTTCGAGGAACCATCCCTCCCCAGGGATGAGGGGGTGAGGCCACCTCAGGAAAAGAGCCGAAAGCAGGAGTGGGCGCCTCCCGATGCTGGACTGCGGGCCCTGGGTCCAGCTTGCCCCGACTCTTCCCTTGCGCGAGGCACAGCATTCCGATCCTGGCTTAAGTCGCTTCGAGTTGGGGTTCTGTCCCTTGCTCAGAAGGGTCCCAAGTGACCCAGATGTCTGTAGAACCAGAGTCCAGGTGACCTGGAATCTGGATTCTAGAACTCTTGGTTCTGAGCTGGGGGTCCCAGTGAAAGGCAATGTGGGACCCCTGTGAGGAGGAGGAGGAGGGAAAATCAGAGGGGGGATCAAATAAAAGCCAACTCACCTGCCCAGTCTTCTCCTTGTTGATGAGCAGGCGTGGGGTGGAGAGGGGTGCCCTGAGGGATGGCGAGCTCGACGGTGAGGACCTGTGCTGGCTCTCCCGGTCCCCAGCCCCCGCCCCCGCCCCGTCCCAACCTACTTGCTGATGAGGGACGCGAAGGGCTGCACTTGTAGGGACGTGCCCATGATGAGGAGGAGATCCACCTTCAGGAAGTCCTGTGAGGGGGGCGTGGCCAGTGAGGGCTCCAGGGGCTCGGTGGGGGCTGGGCTGCTTCCCCCCAACACCCCATCTGCAGCTAATTGGGGAGGCCATCTGCCCCCACGTGGGGGAGCCCGGGGCCACTTACTGACTGCATGCAGGAGAAGAACCTCGCTGGGAGGTTCTCGCCGAAGAACACGATGTCTGAGGCAGGGGGACAGACAGACACAGAGACAGAAAGAGAAGGTGAAATGGAGGTGGTAGAGGCAAGGTCAGAGAGAGAGAGAGAGACAGGGCAGGAGCAGAGGCAGGCCTGAGGGCTGGGAGCAGTGGAGCAGTGGGGACAGATTTGGGGCACTGGTCAGGGAGGGAGGGTAGCCTTCTTGGGAAGGGGCTCGTGGAGGGGTGGGAGTCCCAGCCCAAATCTCTCTGGGTTGGGCCCCTGGCCCCGAGGCTCACCAGGCTTCACCACGTTGTGACATTTCTCACACTTGGGAGTCACCTCGGAGAAGATCTTCTCTGGGCATGGGGAAGGGGAAGGGAGAGAAGAAGATAAGTGACTCTGGGCTGGGGCCTGGGGCTGCGGCCAGCCTTCGTTGTCCACAAACACGCCTCAGTCACCGGGGAGCCTCCTGGGGTGTTTGCCCTGCTCGCCCTTCTTGGAAAGCTGTCCTCCCTCTCCCCCCGACCTCCCCAGGATTCCAGGGGTGGCTTCGAGCACAAGGCTACGGCTATTGACTTAAAGAATAAACAAAAGAACAGGTGAATGAGTAAGCGTTTGCCCTTTGCAGGGATAACTGGATCTCGGCAACCCCTGACCTGGGCAGGAAAGTTCTCCCAGTGGGTCTTGCAGGATGACTCTATTTTATTGTGGGGGAGAGGCCTGGTAAGTCCCAGGCCGGGTGTTAGAGAGAGGGAAGACTCTGCAGATGATCCTGGGATACATTCGCAGGCCTAGCTGCTTCCCATTCTTGGGTTCTGGGACAGACACCTACACACACACACACACACACACACACACACACACACACACACCCCTGGCCTTATGACAATCACACTCCTTATTGCTTATTGATTAAGGAATCTTGAAAAGCATTCTGTTTCTGGCAACCAACCCACAGAATATGAGCTCATTTTTTCAACTCTTCATTCATTCCTTCAGCAGACACGTACAGAGCCCCGTTGTGCCATCTGTAATGTCCTTAAAAACCTGACGGCATTGACAGTGGTGGAGAGTGTATGGTGGCTGCACGCGCTGTCACTGGGAGGGGCACACAATGGGGTGGTGTTCGTGGTCCGTTCCCCCCAGCTGTGCGCCCTTGAGCTATTCTGGAAGCCTCTCCCAGCCGCGGTCAGCTGGCATCTGAGCAGAAAGGCCACCCCCCACCCCCCGGGGGCCCCACCGCAAACGCCGCAGCTGTCCCTGTCTCACACGGACACCGGACACCAGACACCGGACACCGGAGGCTTTGTGAGATCGGCACAAAGAATGTCAGGAATGGCCTGCCGGGGTGAAACACGGGGCTTCCGAGCAGCACAGTGGATGTCAGACAAGCCTCTCATTGGCCTCTGAGAAAAAACTGGCTGACTTTTCTTTTCCCCCCTTTTCTGGACTCTCTGCCCTTCCGTGAACCGAGACACTGACTCTAACAAGCCCTGTTGTCTGCACCCCTAGGGACGGCCCCCAGCCTTCGTCCCCGAACCAGGCCCGTGTCCAGTTTCACATTCCATGGACTCTGACTCATGGGCCTTTGGACTCCGTGGCTGTCACGCAGTCCTGTCCAATCTGGTGGTCCCAGCCATGTGTGGCTTTTAACATTGAAATTACTAAAAATGGTGTAAAATTACAAATTCGGGTCCTTGGTACCGTTGGGCACATCTGTCAGTGCCCGAGAGCCATACGCGGTCGTGGCCGCCATACTGGACAGCACACATCTGGATTCGAAGGTCGTTGGGTTTGCCCTTGCGGGCCCCCTTGTGTAAGGTAAGGTCAGAGCCCCTCACAGGATTAAGAGCTGGGGCCTTACGACCTCACAGAACAGACTGTGGGATGCTCTGGTGGCCTCTATGTCAACACACGTCTCTGTGTGTGGCTGGACGGGGTGTGGGACCTGGTTCCATTATACCCTGGCTGGGAGGTGGTGTCAGAGCAGTGAAACCTGCCCGCTGCCTCAGGTCTCCAGGGGGCTGCCGTCAGCAGCTAAAAAGAGCCGCAGAGTGGGACGGAACGGGTGCCCACCACCTGGAGGCCCCAGGGAGCAGACACGGGGCACCCACAAGGCCTGCCCTCGTGGATGACCATGGATGACCTCGGGCGCCTCACCCTTCATCCAGCTAAGCGAGTACTCCCGCCGGCAGAGGGGGCTGATGCAGTGCGAGGTGTAGAAGGTGCCGTGGGCCTCCACCAGGTCCTCGGGCTCCAGCCCCGCCACTCGCTCCAGGGTGTCTATGTTCTGGCGGGGAGACACAGAAGGCTCAGGAGTGAGGCAACCTCCCTCCCCCGGGACAGAAGGCAGAGCAGGGCCCTGCGAAGAGAAGCAAAGGGGAGAGAGGGACAAGGGAGGGAGGGAGAAGCAAGGGGGCCGGGTGTGCCTATAAACCCCTCCGCTCACTCTCAGGGGGGCCGACGAAGTGGAAAAGTCACAGATGGTTAAAGGTGGGGCCCAAAGTCATACGTCTGTGAGCCCAGGCCCACTGCCACTGTCAGCCCAGATGGAGTGTTTCTGCATAGTTGGGCCACTTTGTTTCCATTTCTCAGAAAATTTGTTTTTGTTAGGACCACATGACGTTAGAGCCACCTGCCAGAAATTTTGTTGGCACTGATGGGGAAGCCTATAATGTCTCTGTTGGAAATAAGAGCGCCCTCAGATGTGGCATCCTTGTGCAGTAACCAACCTGCACAGCTGTCTGTGGCACCCCTGGCTGAGCTGTAACAGAAATAAGTGAATCGGGAGGGTTTATTTGGTTTCAATCACTGTTTTCGTAATCAGCAGTTGGGTGTCTTACTGTGGTCTGTTTTCACAGACGGCACATTCACTGGCATTCTTTTAAGACACGGATAGATTCCTCATTAAACCAGCAGGACTATTCTTCCCTTCCACATTGACATATGTGCTCTCTCATTTTTCTTAAAGCACGCAGCCCCTTGGGAGCAGCTTTTGTTTGCCTGTGAGGCATGCTGCAGAGACAGGTGCTGATGGAGCTGACGGAGCCCGCAGCACACGGCCAGACGCCACCCCGAGATGGCGGGTCATGTGCAGCCCACAGCTGATCTGGCACAGCCTCCCTGAGACTCCATGCACAACCAAAAGGGTTCTCTTTCAGGGGCAGATGGCCCCAAGCACTTGTCTCCGCTCCCTGCCAGCAATCAGCTTGTTCCCCAAACATACAGACAAGAGCCACTGTTCCCAGACTCTCTCTGGAGCTCTTCCTCTCCCCCCAACCCCGCATTAGTTTTGCCTTTGTTACTTGACTCAGTCTATGGCCCCGCTCACATGTGAGGAAGCAGTGTGCATGCAAATAATTAAATAGAGTGTAAAAAAAAAAAACCTACTGAGCCGCCTCTGTTGTTCTGAGGCCACTTCTGATTTAAAAAACCTCGAATGGGAAAAGAATGAGGCTGTCCTGCATGTCCCGATATGGAAATGATCCCTTCAAGAGATTAAAAGGCACAGGAGAACAAAGGTGGTGGGAAAGCTATATATGAAGGTGTGTATTTGTTTGCCGGTGTATACACTATTTTGAAAGGCGATACACAGGATGCCTGAGTGGCTCATTGGTTAAGCGTCTGCCTTCGGCTCAGGTCATGATCCTGGGGTCCTGGGATCAAGCCCCACATCTGGCTCCCTGCTTCGTGGGTCTGCTTGTCCCTCTCCCTCTGCCCCTCCTCCCTGCTTGTGCTCTCTGTCTGTCAAAAAAAGAAATAAAATTTTTAAAACAAAAATAAAGGTGATAGGAGAAGCCAGCAATAGCATGGGCTTCTAGGGAGGGAAGCTGGGGGCTGGGGAGCATGGCCCCAGGATGTTCTCTCCTAGAGGACAGGCCGTGATGAATGCAGGGTGGTACAGGCTGAGTGACATGTTGCCTGGGTGTGTGGCAGCAAGTGGGGCAAGGTGAGGGTGGGCACTGGCCGGCTCCGGCCCAGTGCTCACTGCCCTCCTACCCCCCGACTGGGGTGGGGGGTAGGAGGGCAGGCAGTTCTTCTCAAGCTGCAGGAGGAGCCTGAAGCCCGATTGTAAACGGAAATCTCTTGCTTTTTAAACCTTGGCTCCCTTTTTGTTTCAAAACACAGTGTCTCCCTGATGGACACAAAGGCAACAGCAGCTTTGAAAAAGTATGAAGTTGGGGGTGCCTGGCTGGCTCACTCCCTAGAGCGTGCGATTCTTGATCTCGAGGTTGGGAGTTCGAGTCCCACTTTGGGTGGAGAGGTTACTTAAAATCAAGAAAAGAAAAGGAAAAAAAAAGAAGAAAGAGAGGAAGGAAGGCAGGCAGGCAAGAAGGGAAGGAGGGAGGTCAGGAAGCTGCTATGTGGGTGTGGATATGGAAGGGTCTTCCACACAGGGAGTTAAGTGGAAGAAAGTCAAGTACAAGCCCCACGTGTAGGCTAAATGCCATGAATATATTTAGAAGCCGCTTTGCTGTGGAGATCGCAGGGGCTTGAGCGAACAGGGCAATTATTCGCGTGTTTGGACAGAGACTTGCATCTGGGGATAAAAACAGTTCTTGACACGGCCCCAGAAGTGCAACACCATCAAAATCCAGAAAGAGGTGAAGACAGGGTGTTCCAGAAAACTGGGTCAGTGACTCAAAAAGTGACTGAGGTTGACAGAGAAGGTGACAAGTTTGGAGAAAACAAAACAAAATGGGCTCTTGAAACATGAGAGGGGAATGCTTCCCCCCCCCCCCGCCCCACGGTTGTCTGTTTTCTGTAATCAGCCGTTTTGCTGATGCGTGTGCAGTTAAAGCTGCACAGTCACTGTTGCCAGGAGGGGACACTCGCTTCCCAGAAGAGTGACCCGTCTGCTTCCACCGTCAGGGCAGTCTCCTCCTTGGTCTCTGTGCCCCCTCCTCACCACTCCCAGTAGGTCCCTGACATGCAGCCAGGGGGACCCCTGGGTCAGGTCACGTTCCACCCTGCTCAGAGCCCTCCTGTGGCTCCCTCTCACTCAGCCCTTCCTGCGGCCCCAAGATCCCACATGGTGAGTCCCTGTCCCCGCGCCCCCCTATTCTCTCCTGCTGTCCTCTCTGTTCACTCGAGCCAAATACAGTCTCACCTCAGGACCTCTGCCCTGGCTGTTCCTTTTGCCTGGAACACACTCTCCCCCTAGATGATACCGTGGCTCCCTCTGTCCTCTCTTGGAGGTCTTTGTCTAAACGCACACCTCTCATTGAGAACTTCCCTGATACCTGTTGACAACAGCACTCCCCCACAACACTTCTAATTCCCTCTCCTGCTTAATCATGACCCCCTAGCTCTGCTTCCTACCCATCATGTCCACTGTCTCTCTCTCCCCACAGCAGACTGTCAGCTCTAGGAGGGCAGGGATGTCGCCACCAGCAGGGCCTGGCACAGGGTCTACACTGGGTAAACACTTGTGACAGAAGATGACGGTAGCAGGGCTACGGTGTGGATTTCATGGAATCAAGCACAGGGGAGCCCTTGGCTTGGAGAAAGCTGTGTTTATCATGTCTGAGCCACGTCCTGTGGATAAAATGGCCTCTGGGAAGAAAGGTCAGGTTTATCCTCAGCAGGAGCTCCTCCTGGAAAGAAGAGGCTGTCCTTTCGCAGGCCACCACCGCCAGTCCTAGGCAGTGGACTCCTGCCCCCATTTGAGAAATCAGGACTTAGAAAGAAATTCATCCTCCCCCTGGTGGCGGCTTCCCAGGCTGGCAGGCTCCAAATTGCCAGGCGCAGGAAGAAAATGTTAGAACGCCCAGTTACAGTCAAGTATTCTCTCTTTTTTAATTTTGGGTTCTAAGGTATCATTTAAAAAACATTTATTTCTTTTAGAGAGAGAGAGAGAGAGAGCGAGTGCAAGCACACAGGGAGGAGAAGGGCGGAGGCAGAGGGAGAGAAAGAATTTCAAGCAGACTTCCCTCTGAGCATGGAGCCTGATGTGGGGCTCGATCTCACCACCCTGAGACCATGACCTGAGTAGAAATCAAGAGTCAGGCACTCAACTGACTGGGCCCCCCCAGGCGCGCCCTGAGGGATCATTAACAGCACGATGTCGCTGTTACTGACGCCTTGTAATTTCAATTTCATGTATTCACCCGCATTCAAAAAAAACACATTGCTAAAACAAAGGTAGGGGCACCGACTGCTTTTACAGTGAGGGGTATGAGATGCTGAAAACGTCTTGCCGGCTAGTCCAGAAACCCATGATGTGAGCTGTCCTTGCCAGAGAGCCCCAGGGCAAGGCCCTCGGCTCAGCTCCTGACATGTATGAGCCATGGCCCGTGGCACACGCGAGCCCTTTGCATAATATCAAAAAGATGCCCCTTCCTTGAGACTCTCCGTCTGCCTGCTGGGAAACGGGCGTGGTGTACTGATTTTGTCAGAGCCAGTTACCCCATGGCCATCTGCTAAAAGCCCTAACCAACCCGGAAATCTGCTGTGCGAGTGTAGCCCCTCAGACATGCGGCCCTAAAGGGCCAAACTGTTCTGGCCACTGCTTTACAGAAGGGGAAACTGAGGCTGAGGGGAGGTGCAGGGGCTCCCTGCAGGTCATGCAGCAAGAACACAGCAGCCCGGGCTCTCGGGCCCTGAGGTGCCAGGACGCACGAGGTCAGCCCCTCCCCCAACCCCCGGGGACCGCGGCCGCCTACCTGCGTGTAGCAGCGCAGCAGCAGCCCCTTCTCCTTCAGCAGGCGGATGAAGTAGTGGCAGACGGTCGGCTGGAGGGGGGGCAGGCGGAACAGCGCCCATCGTGACAGAGCCCATTTGCTGCACGTTGCCTCATGCCAGGAACTGTTCCAGACACTCTGGCTTTTTTACCTCATGGACTCATCACACTGGCCTCGGGAGCATCACTGGCCCCATTTCACAGATGGGAAAACTGAGGCTCAAGGTCACAAGAGCAGGAAATGAGCGACCAGGACATGGACCCACGTGGCCCGGAGCCCATGTCCTTTATGATCATGGGACATTTGTCTGAAGGGCCCCAGAAGAAGCCTTTCCCATGCCTGCTGCCCCCCAAGCTTTCCTGAGTGCCCGGCAAGAAAGAGCTCACCTTGAACTGCCCAGGATAGAGTTCCTTGGCAAGAGCAAAGAAAGGCTCTGGGTGTTTCTGTGGGAGAGAGAACCAGAGGGCAGGTGGGCACCCAGATGCCCCTGGTGAGTTGAGAGCTGGAGTCAGGCGATCCCACCCCCTCCCCATTACAGACCTTCCTGCCTGGGGAGCACATACCTTAAAGTAGCCAATCTCAAAGATGGCCTCCGGGTAAGGAAGATGGTACTTCTCCAGGTTGGCGTAGAGGCCGGTGGATGGGGAGCGGAAGTCAGGGATGCCGGCGGCTGTGGGCCGGGGGGTGGGGTGTAGAGCAATGGGTCAGGGACCTCCATCTATACCCTATCAATCCCTCCCCATCAAAGGCCCAGACACGGCTCCCTCCAGTCCCTGGAACGGGGTCCCCCAACATGGGAGTGGCTATGAGCGGGGAGGGGAGGCACTTACATGTGGAGATCCCAGCTCCTACCAAACAGATGACCCTGCGACCTGGAGGAGAGGAGTTTCTGCATCACGTGACAGTATGCTCGGCCCCAAAATAACAGCACCCATCACAGCCCCCGATGTCGTTTCCTCAGTGCCAGCATTTCAGATGCATGAATGGTCTTCCCAATCATCTCAGGGGGAAGGGGAAGTCAACACCCCCACTTTACAGATGAGAAAACCAAGGCTCAGACAGGGGAAGGATCATGCAGTCAACTGGTGGCTGAGCCAGCATGGGGACGAGGAATCGACAGTTTCAAATTATACCAACTTGGACAGATTTGAGAAAAGGCCACTTGGAGAGAAGTTTCCCCTCCTAGACCTATATAAAAACACATGAGCTCTTAGTGAGAAGGCTGGGCAGTGGTGGTGGGGGTCCCCTCCGGAAGAGCTACAGGTCATTGGGAAAAATCTCTGTCTTCGCCTCACCTTTTGGACACAATCTTGAATGACCATCTATTTCTAGCGTGTTCCTTCAGCATATTCCTTTCCTCTATAATCAAACACACACAAGCCACTGGAAGTCTGATCATTTTCTGGTGAAGACCAAAGATTTGCCCCTCTTGGCTCTCACCCAGTGAAAGCCGGTAGATAAGAGGGCTTCGGATCCTAGCTCTCCTGCTCACCAGCTGGGGCTGGCGGATGGGGGCGTGGGGGGTGTCTTAGTTCAGCTCTCCCCTCTGGGTTCCAGCTTCCTGCTCTGTTGAAGGGCATAATTACAGTACTGGCTTCATGGGGCTGTCGAGAGAATGAATTCATTCGTGTAAATCTTAGATCAGCGCCCGGCACAGAACAAACACTACGTATGTGTCTGCTATTATTTTCTGAGGCAATTGTACCTCTTGAGACCCAGGGTTTGTACGTGTATAAGCACTTTGTTCCTCTGCTTTTCTCCTGGCTTTCAGAAAAAAGGATGGGAAGGTGTGGCAGGAGTCGAATCACTTTGCAAACATTCGGGGCTGTGCAGAAATAGCTCTGTTGTCTTATCAGTGCCTGCTGGGCAGCTTGGCCACGCGGGACCCGGGCATCTGCCCATCAGCTGATGGTCAGCCACAGGTGTGAAGCCCCTGAACTGGGGACCTCTGGGGCATCCCGTGCGAAGGAGGACAGCAAGGGGGATGAAGCCCTCGGCTTTGTCTTGGGGTTGCCATTGGGCTAGGCCCAGCTGGAGCTAGCTGGGGCCACACAGGAGGCAGCGTGTGCTCTGGATTCGTGGGAGCCTGGGGTGGAGTCCTGACTGCCTCCTGCCAGCTGTGTGACCCTGCATGGAGTCCCAACCTCTCTGTGCCTCGGCTTCCTCCTCTGTCCACATCACTCCTGTGATAATCTCATAGGTACAGTGTGAAGGTTGAAGGAGAGGACATCTAGCCTAGCCCAGCACCTGGCAAATGGTGAGGGCTCAGTTAGCTGTCGTTCTTCGCTGTGCCCCTCACAGGCAGCCTCGTGAGCCAACTGTCCTAAAACCCAAGCGTGGGAGGACGGAAAGAACCAGAGCTTTGCGGCCATTGCCTGTGCTCTCTTTGGGGAGGAGATGTCTGCAGACAGCTGCCCGGCCTGGCCTGGGAGAGGGGGAGGCTCAGGGCAGCAAGCCTGGACGCCTGAGCAGGGAGCCGGCAGCAGCTGGAGGACAGGGAAACGGGAGAAGACGTCCTCAACAAAAGGCTGTTCAGGACCCTCAAAGGGTCGATTGTTCTACTTGAGGACTGCCGAGGGCCCGGTTTCTCAGACTCTGGTGACCTCAACTTTCAGCAAGAAATAGAAATAACATGGTGACCTAGTAGAGAGGCACCTACACAGCACCCCGAAACACACTTCCGGTAATAGTTGTCCCAGGGCACGTGGCTCTTGCTCTCCTCCCGGACCTCTCCAGACATTTCCCTCTCTGTTCCTGGGTTGCACCCGCTAGGCACGTTCTGGGGTAATTATTATTGGTAGCGTCTTTAGTCTGTCAAACAGGCCTGGCCAATCAGCAATGGAGGTGTGACCCACGTCTGGCCAATCAGGGACAGATAAGGTGATTGGTTTGCGGTAGAGTGTGACCCAACCTGGCCCAATTGGGGCGCGCGCGATCTCTGCCCCTTCGCTTGAACCCCTGGAAGGAGATACTAGGCTGGTGGAACTGACATGCGGTACGGCCAGGAGCCTCCTCCACCTCCACGCAGAAAACCCGCGCCAGAGGGGGTTAAGATCTTTGACAACACGGAAGCTTCTGAATCCAGCCATGCTTAATGCTGGATTTTAGTTACAGGGTCAATGCTCTCTTTTTGGCCTAAGCCAGTAGGAGTTGGGTTTCTTGTTACTTGGAAGCAAAAGTTGTGATGGTTCAAGTGGTGGCAGCTGAGAAGTCACGTGGGGCCAGGAGCAGGGCAGGTGGCGAAAGGCAGGGCGGGGACTTACAGCGCTCACTCTGCATGTAGCGGGTCACCCCTTCCAGGGTCAGGTCGTCCAGCAAACGCTCCTTTTGGGTGCCCAGGCCCAGTGTCTGGGAGAAGAAGTTCCGCAGGAAGTCCACTGGCCAAAAAGCAAAGAGAGAACAGCAGGGTGGGTGTTCAGCCCGGGAGCCCCGGGGCCCTCAGTGCCCCCGTCCGCCCTGGGATTCCCCCACCCTCCCACAGCCAGGGTCCTCTAGGTGCTGGCATTGCACCCAACAGACACACTTAGAAAGTCACCCTCAGTGGAGGTGAGGGGTAGCAAATACATCCCTGCCCTAAATTGCTCCCCCAGAACCCCACTCCCAGGGAAGATACTCACTCTCTGCTTCGCCGCCAGCAGCTCCTTCCTCAGAGTCTGAATCTGAGTCCTGGAAGGGGTTGGGGTGGGATGGCCAGGCCCCAGAAGTGGGGTTAGCGAGGGAAGAGAGGGGAGGATGGCACCCGGGTTTGGGGGGAAAGGCTCTGGCTGGAAGTGGGCCCAAGGAAGAGAGGGGTGGTCGGGGGACAGTGTGCAGGCTCTGGGATGGGCTGCATGGGTTGGACACCTGGTCCCACTGCTCCTGAGGCGCTCATATTCTTTGCTGTTTTGAGTTTGATGGCCCTCAACTTGGAAATGGAGCTCAGAGGACATGGCACTGCCTCAGAGGGCTCTCTGACATGAAGCATTAACCTATGGGAGGTGCTCCGAGGAGCACCCAGTGGGATAAGTGTCAGAAGTGCCTGGTGTCCCCGTGTCCTTGCCTTGCATCCCCACCTGTCCCCTGTAGTATGGGCCTGCCGCCCTCCTCATCAAAGTCACTTCTGTGAATAACGCCAGTGGAAATGCCTCAGTCCTCACCCTGGGGCCCTCAGCCCTCCTTCCTGAAGCCCCGGGCTCCACCTTTCCAACCCCTCCGTGTCATTATCTACTCTTCCCCTCGGCCAGGCTCCCAGATTGCAGATCTGAGACTCTGTGCTGCGCTCCCCCTCCCACTTCTTCTGTCCACTTTTCCTGGGCTAGCTGCCTCATCTGTGCCAATGGTCTTGGGCTAGGCATTGATAATGCCACCTCCTAGCCCCAGATCTGGGGTTCCTGCAGCCTCCTGGATACTCCGCTGAAGTGACCCCTGGCCTCCCTCTCCCACCACATCTCAATCTTGGTCGTAGCATCTCTCCTAAACCTGTCCTTCCTCGTAGGTCTTATCTCAGTGTGGCTTCTGTCCCCCAGTCTTTGTCTCCCTCACCTGACCTCCTGCCCTAATGTGTCTCCTCCACAGAGCTCTAACTGGTCCAGCCAGTCCTCCCTCTGGGGGCCCTGTCCTGGCCTCCTCCCTAAGCTCCCAGCCTCAGCCTCCACCCCAATGGATGTTACCACCCTCCGGGTGACTGCCTGGCTTTGTCAGCCCACCCTGCCCTCTGCTCCAAGCACCCTTCTCACTGGCTTCTCCAGTCTATAACCGTCGGATCACCACTGGGTATGGAGTCCGCCATGATGTCAGCTCCAAGATGGCGGAGAGTTTTCGTGTTTACCAGTGGACGCCCCATGCCGGAAACAGGGCCTGGCCCCGGCAGGAGCTCCAGAACCATCCACCACTGAATGAATGGATACTCGCTGTGCACTACACCAGGGCTGGGCCCTGCAGTGGACCTCACAAAAACACAATTCTGACCAATGCAGTCTACTGCTTAAGACTCCTCCCCCAAATTATTCTCTGCTCTGGTTTCAAGCCTTTTGGAATAGGAACCACCCTTCCAATCATATTTAAATATTTTTAATTGCTCTTCCATAGGCTTTGTAAAAACTTTGACCATGAGACCATGTGTGACTTGAGGCACTTGCCTCTAGTTCCCTCACCCACCCCAGTCACGATAACCACCATTCACAGTACAGTGGTAAGGACTCTAGAATTTTTCTCTGCATATAAAACTCATTCATTTTCCAGAAATGGGCCCGTGCCACAGTACAACGCTGCACCTTGCCTCTTCCGCAGAACAATATACTATAGATCTACCTCCTCCTTTAAAAAAGCTACATAGTGTTATATTGTAAGGCTGTAGTGTTACATTGTAAGGATGAGCCATAGTTCATTTAACCGGCCTACTGACAGCCACTTGGGCTGTTTCCAGTGTTGCCCTATCACAGACAATGCTGCAATTTACACCCTCAAATCTCTCTTTCTGGGACTGAGGATCCCTTTTAAACATTAAACCTTTCTCTGTGACAGTGGCTGACCTTCGGAGCCAGGCGAGGGAGAAACCCCAGCCCGAAAGGGAGCTTTCAGACCCTCAGGGTGGCCCTGCTGTGCACCTGTCAGGGGCCTTCCTCTCAGCTTCCACGCTGCCCTACATCTGAATGGCGATCTCGCGTCTCGGGGGGGGGTTGGCATCCTTTCAGATTGCAGACAGTGAGGCTCTGTGGAAGGACCTGAGGCCCCTGCCCAGCATGTGGGAGCAACTTGGCTATAGCGGGATCTGGTGGGGCCTTCAGGTCTCTGTGAGGCGGCCTGGCTGCCTCTTCCTGAAGTTTCTGGAAGGCAACCTGCAGAGTGCCCTGGGTTGCAAAGCAGTCCCTGCTCTTCTAGCAGGGGCACGGGAGGTGAGGAAGATAGAGGACAAGTTACCTAAAAGCTCTGCCTTAGATTCCTCATCTGTAAAATGGCCCCAGTAGACCTTGCCCCCTGCAAGGGATTCTGGGAAGATGAAATGAAATGTACACAGAGACCCGAGCAGAGGAGCTGGCTGGAATAAGTACTCAATAAATGCTAACCTCAGCTACAATTAGCTAACCACCCCCAGCCACCAGGCTACTGACCACACCATACCCTTTGTGCCCTCCAGTCTTCACACAACCTGTACACTCTGCATGGAACACCATTCGTCACACTGCGTAAGACAATTCTAAGTCATTCTTCACTTACTGTGAGTTGTCTGCACCACAGTCTGACTCCTAGGTCAGCCTGTGGATTTGCTCAGGGAACAGATTGGCGGGAGCGTCTGTGACCCCACAGAGTTTACTCTGCCTTGAGCTACTTTCGTAATCACCCTGGAGGGTCATTTCTAGTCACTTGTCCGTGAGATCTGCGCATTCAGGGACCAAATCGGATGCCCCTCTCTTCCATGCCCAGCATCAATGAGGTTCAGAAAGGATACGGGGAGGGAGCAAGGAAAGAGAAGAGTTTGGGAAGGCAGGCCTGAAGTTGAAGCTGCACACCCTTCCCCGACAGTCCCCAGAATCCACCATTCCCCAGGAGACCGAACCAGGAGTTGGGGCAAGGGACTGGGGCAGTGAGCTTAGGGCCCTGGGGTGACTGTCTCCCCTCTGCCACCCCCCCCACCCCGTGTGAGGTGTGGGAACAAGTCCATCTCTCTCCTTCCCTCCACCCTTCCCCAAATCTCACCTGAGCCTCCTGCACCTTCCCTGCCTGGGTCTCCAGAGGGTCAGAGGCTGGGGGAGGAGGGGGAGCAGATGTGGTTACAGTGGGGGGCATGGTTAAGTGGGAATGAAGGTCTTCAAAGCAGAGGGGCAGGGAGCAAGAAGGCCCATCAAGCTAATTACACTGGGTTGGGAGGGAGGGAAGGCATGGGGGAAAGCAGACCGCGTTAGAGTAAACAGTGCTGTCAGAAGTGGTCAGTGAGGGACAAGGAGGCTGGGACTGGAAGGTTTAAGAGAGGCAGGAGAAAGCAAAGCATACGGGACATGGAGAAAGACTTAGAAGTGAGGAAGGAAATAGTGTTTGTGTGTATGTGTGCAGGGAGGGTTAGGTTTACTAACAGAGGGAAAGTTTAAAAAGGAATAGAGGAGATAAGAAAATACTCTGAGTAGAGACAAGTTTGGGAGAGGAGGCGCAGTGGGGATGGCATGTTCAGGAGGGGCACAGGAACTAGAGGGAAGAGATAGGAGGGGGGCACCAAGGTTCCCTAGCATCATACAGTTCCCCCTAACAACCAGGTACCCTTAGCAACCGGGTCCAAGGCAATCTAAGTCCTTAGCAACGAGGGTCCTCAGCAACCAAGGTGCGAGAAACACGCGATCATTAGGAACTTGGGGGACGTGGCAAACGGACACTTAAAAGCTCGCGCCCAGAAACCCACCAACCAAGCAAGATGGATCACTTAGCAACGACACCCCCCCCCAACCTTGCCCCGAATCCCACTCCCCTCCATGCGGCCCCAGTCTTCAGCCCCACCATGCCCGTCCTCGGGCCCCGGGGCCTGCAGCCCTCAGCCAGGCCCCGGCGCGGCCCGGCCCTACCCTCCCACCGGGGCCCCCGACTCACGATCCGGCTCGGCCATGGGCGCGGGGCGGGGGCCCTCGGGGCTGTCACCGACTGCTCTGTCCCGTGACGGCACCGGAAACAGGAGGGGCAGAGACAGGGCAAAGAACTACAACTCCCAGAAATCATCGAGGAGGCGTACAGGCTTTCGAAGCGACTGGCGCAGGCCGCTCTTAGGTTAGGAAGACAAGCGAGGGCCGGACTACGAGTCCCAGAGTGCTCCGCGCAGGCAGCCATGTTGGTAAAGGGCGGCCGGAAAATGTGTGAATGGGTAGAGAGCTGCAGTCCATCTGAATACTCTGATTTGTCACAGTGTGGTAAGCGGGCGGGGCATGTACTCTTTGGCTCACTTTGATTGGGTGAGTCAAGGGGGAGTGTTGGGGGAATTCCCCGTAGGGCGGAAGCGCCGGGGCTCCAGGCAGAGCCTAGCTACAGGCCGGCGGCCGCTGGGGCCCCTGAGGCTTGGGGGGCCATGGCCGGGGTCGCGTGCTTGGGGAAAGCTCCGGAGGCCGACGAATGGTGCGACAGCGGCCTGGGCTCTCTGGGCCCGGACGCATCAGCACCCGGAGGTTCGGGGTTGGGCGCCGAGCTGGGCCCGGGTCTGTCGTGGGCGCCCCTCGTCTTCGGCTACGTCACTGAGGATGGGGACACGTGAGTGAAACTTGGGCTGCCAAACCGGGCTCTAGGATCCGACGTCTGATTCCCTATTAGTCTCTGATCCCAGCTTCCTAACCTTTCACTTCTAAATCTAACTTCTTATGCTCGGCTTTCTGATCTCTAACCCCCAATCCTAACCTTTAGTAAAACCAATTTCCTATCCAACTTTGCCCCTAAACCTTTAATTTCTCTGACCTTCCTTTCTTGAACTGTTTCGGAGAGCTCCCTATCCGTTGATCCCAAAACTCGATTTGATCTCCTTGGCCCTAGTCCTGAGACTTTTGTTAGAGCTGTGGTTCAGACAGGCCCCTCTTGACCTCCTACCTCCCAATAGGATCTTTGATCCTTAGCTCCTGGTTTATGCACCTTGAACTTAGATTTCCAAAATTAATACTTGGCCTTGACTCTAAGATTCTACCCTCTGAGCACTGATCGTCAGATCTTACATTCAAAGAGAAAATGTAAGCTCCAGGATAGCAGGGACTAATAGCTGTTTGATACTTATTGAACACTACCACCTGTCTTAGGTGCTGTGATAAAGCAGTGAAGAAAACAGACAAAAACTTACACCCTTGTAGAGTTTACATTCTAGAGTGGGTATAAAGACAGAAGGACAGAGAGACTGCCAGACGGGAAGGAATGGAGGGTAGGAAAAAAAGAAGAGACAAGGAATGCGAGAAAGGGGCAGAGAAGGAAAGAAAGAAGACACAGACACAAAGTGAGAGGGTAGATAAAGGAAAAGAAGAAACAAAGAAAAATGAAAAACATCATATAAGAAAGGCAGAAAAATGGTGTGTCTGAAGGTAGTAAGTTCTTTGGGGGAAGGAATAAAGCACCAAAACGGGACCCGCAGATTAGCTGGGGGGAGTGGATTAGCTCTCTGGGTAGAAGGAACAAGACATGTAAAGGCCGATGAGGGATTGCACTGGGGTTTTTTGTGTATTACGTTTACTGTTCTATCCACAGTGACTAAACAGTGTTTGACCTATAAGATGCACTCAGGAAATATTGATCTTTTCAAAGACCCCATTTAGGTTTCATTAATTTTCTTTAATTTTTTTTGCTTTCTATTTCATTGATCTCTGTTCGGATTTTCATTATTGCCCTCGTCTGCTTACTTTGGGTTTAATTTATTCTTTTTTTTAGTTTCCTAAGGTGGCAGCTGAGATCATTTTGAGACTTTCTTTTCTAATATAGATGTTTCATGCTATAAATTTCTCATAGTAGTGCTTTAGCCAGTCTCTCACAAATTCTGATGTGCTGTGTTTTCATGTTCATTTAATTCAAGATCCTTTGTAATTTCTCTTTTGATTTCTTCTTTGGCCAGTGGATTATTTAGAAATATGTTATTTAGGGGCACCTGGGTGGCGCAGTTGACTGAGTGTCAGACTCTTAGTTTTGGCTCAGGTTGTGATCTCGGGGTCCTGGGATGAGCCCCCCACCCGCCCGCCACTGGGCTCTGTGCTCAGTGTGGAGTCTGCCTGGGATTCTCTCTCCCTCTGCTTTTACCCCTCCTGTTTGTGCTCTCTTTCTCTACAAAATAAATAATCTTTTTTTTTAAGATTTATTTATTTATTTGGAGGGCTATAGGGGCAGAGAAGAGGGAGCGAGAAGCACCCAAGCAGGCTCTGCATGGAGCATGACATGGGACTCGATCCCATGACCCTGAGATCATGACCCAAGCTGAAACCAAGAGTTGGTTGCCTGACCAGCTGTGCCACCCAGATGCCCCTAAATCAATCTTAAAACAAAACAAGACAAAAAAAAAAAAAAAAAAAGAGGGGCATCTTGGTGGCTCAGTGGGTCAAGTCTCTGCCTTCAGCTCAGGTCATGATCTCAGGGTCCTGGAATCGAGCCCCACATCGGGCTCTGCTCAGCGGGGAGCCTGCTTCTCCCTCTCTCTGCCTGCCTCTCTGCCTACTTGTGATCTCTGTCTGTCAAATACATAAATAAAATCTTTAAAAAAAAGAGAGAGAGAAATATGTTATTTAGCTTCCAGATACTTAGAAAGTCCTCCAAATGTCTTTCTTTTATTGATTTTTAATTTAATTCCATTGTAGACCGAGAACATACTTGGTATGACTTGAATCCTCTTAAATTTATTGTGAATTGTTCTACAGTGCGAACATTATGTGTGCACTTGAAAAGAATGGATATTCCGCTGTTGTGGGCTGTAGTGTTCTCAAATGTCCATTAGAGGTCCTATTGGTGTATAGCTTTGCTGTGGTTTTATATATCCTTGCCGATGATTTCTGTCTTCTTGTTCTATTAGTTATTGAAGGGGGGCATTGAAATCTCCAGCAGTCATTGTGGATTTGTCTGTTTCGCTGTTGTTCCATCAGGTTTTGCTTTGTGTAATTTGATGCTCTGTTATTAGGGCATATGTGTTCTCTTGCTTAATTGACCTTTCTATCATTATGATAGAGATACCAGGCATCTCTATACCTGGTAATATTCCTTGCTTTAAAATCTAGTCTGATATTAAAATACTCCTGCCTTCTTTTGACTGACTGGTATTAGCATGGTATATCTTTTCCCGCCCTTTAATTTATTTGTTTATTTTAGTTTTTTAAAAAGATTTTATTTGTTTATTTGACAGAGAGAGATCACAAGTAGAGAGAGAGGCAGGTGGGGGGCGGGTGGGAAGCAGGCTCCGCACCTAGCAGAGAGCCCGATGCGGGGCTCGATCCCAGGACCCGAGATCATGACCTGAGCTGAAGGTAGAGGCCCAACCCACTGAGCCACCCAGGCGCCCCCCTACCCTTTTATTTTTAACCCGTCTGTTAATACTTATATTTAAAGGGTGTTACTTATAGGGAGCATATATAGTTGGGTTTTGCTTTTTTATTCAGTCTAACAATTTCTGCCTTTTTTTAAAAAAAGATTTTATTTATTTATTTGACACAGATCACAAGTAGGCAGAGGCAGGCAGAGAGAGAGGGGAAGGGAAGCAGGCTCCCTGCTGAGCAGAGAGTCTGATGTGGGGCTCAATCCCAGTACCCTGGGATCATGACCTGAGCTGAAGGCAGAGGCTTTAATCCACAAAACCACCCAGGCGCCCCCAATTTCTGCCTTTTAATTGGAATGTTTAGACCACTTACATTTAATTTAATTATTGATACAGTTATGCCTAAGTTTATCATCTTACTGCTAATTTTCTACTTAATACCTCTTCTTTGTTTACCTTTTCTTCTTTTTCTGCCTTCTTTTGGAACCTGTAAGTTTTGTCACGTTGTATTCTTTCATTAGCTCATTTTCGCTTTATTTATTTAAAGATTTTGTTTATTTTTATTTTATTTATTTTAGCGGGGTAGGGAAAGGAGGGAGAGAATCTCAAGCAGACTCCCCACTGAGGGTAGGGTCCCATGCAGGGTGTGATCTTACAACCCTGAGATGATGACTTGAGCCAAAATCAAGAGTCTGACACTTAACTGACTGAGCCACCCAGGCGCCCCTTACAATACTGTTTTTACATTAATCTCTGCACCCATCATGGGGCTCTAACTCACAACCCCGAGCTCAAGAGTCACACGACAGAGCCAGCCAGGAGTCCCTGGCTTTATTAGCTTTAACTCTTTGTTCTGTTGTTTAAATGGTTGGCAAACTGGCTTCCAGGCAAAAATCTAGCCAGCCATCTGCTTTTGTATGGCTGTAAGCTATGGACGGTTTTTACATTTTTAAATGGCTGGGAATAAAGCAAAGAATATTTGCAGCAGCTGAAAGTGACATGAAATTCACCTTTCAGACTCCACAAATGGTTTTGCATACAGCCCTGCTCATTCATGTACACACTGCCAGTGGCTGCTTTTGCATCACAGTGGCAGAGCTGAGTAGGTAAAAGAGACTGTAGGATCCACAAAGCCTAACATCTTTATCTGGTGCTTTACAGAAAAAGTTTGCTGACCTCTGCTTTGTGGCATATACTGTACGGCTTCAACTTATTATGTTCTGCCTAGAAGTGACACTGTGTCACCTCGCATAGGGTAAAAGCTAAAAGAAACTTAGAAGAGTGTATTTCCATTTGTCCTGCCCTGGCCTTTATGTTATTGTCCTACATTTTACTTACGTGTGTGTGATAAACTCCACTGTACATTGTTAGTAGTTTTGTTTAAACACTCAAGTATTTTTTTCAAATTACCTTCTAAAGTCACTTACATTAAAAAAAAAAAAAGAGACTTACATAATGAGGAAAAAACCTTCCATATTTACCCAAAAAGTTACTATTTTCATGTTCATTTTTCTTTTGTGTAGGCCCTTATTGCTGTGTCATGTCATTTTCCTTTTGCTCGCAGATTTCCTTTGACCTTTCTTTGGTGATGTGGGTCTGCTGGCAATAAGTTCCTTCGGCTTTTGTATACCTGAAAACACCATTATTTATCTTTTTAAAAGATATTTTTGCTGGGTTAAAGAATTCTAGGTCGGGGCGCCTGGGTGGCTCAGTCAGGTAAGCATCTGCCTTTGGCTCAGGTCACGATCCCCAGGGTCCTGGGATCAAGCCCCGTGTTAGGCTCCCTGCTCAGCAAGGAGTCTGCTTCTCCCTCTCCTTCTATCCCTATCCCTACTCCTGTTCTCTCTCTCACTCAACTCTCTTTCTCTCAAGTAAATAAAATCTTAAAAAAAAAAAAAATCTAGGTTGAGGAGCGCCTGCATGGCTTAGTCAGTGAAACACCCAACTGTGGATCTCAGCTCAGGTCCTGATCTCAGGGTCATGAGTTCAAGCCCCAAGTTGGGGTCCACACGGGGTATGGAGTCTACTTAAAAAAATCAGAATCCGGGGCGCCTGGATGGCTCAGTGGGTTAAAGCCTCTGCCTTTGGCTCGGGTCATGATCTCAGGGTCCTGGGATTGAGCCCCGCATGGGGATCTCTGCTCAGCAGGGACCCTGCTTCCCTTCCTCTCTCTCTGCCTACTTGTGATCTCTGTCAAATAAATAAATAAAATCTTAAAAAAAAATCAGAATCCTAGGTTGACTGCGTTTGAATACTTGAAAGAGGTTGCTCCAGTGTGTTCCCTTGCCTCATTTCTTATAGGACATCTGCTATCATCCTTATTTTTATTTTTCTGATTTGAAGTATCTCTTTCTCTGGCTGCTTTTGAGATTTTTGTCTTTTTTTTTTTTTTTTTTAGATTTTATTTTAGAAAGAGAGTGAACGAGCAAGTGCTGGGTGGGGAGGGGTGCAGAGGGAGAGGGAGAGACAGGGAGTCTCAAGCAGACTCCATGCTGAGTGAGGAGCCTGATGAGGGACTCAATTTTACGATCCTGAGATTGTGACCTGAGCTGAAACCAAGAGTTGGGCGCTTAACCAACTGAGCCGCCCAGGTGCCCCTGAGATTTTTGTCTTCATCATTGGTTTTGAACAGGATTTTTATGTTGGGCCTTGGCATAGTTTTGTTTTTTTTTAAGATTTTATTTTTTAATTTATTTGTCAGAGAGGGAGAGAACAAGCAGGCAGAGCTGCAGGCAGAGGCAGAGGGAGAAGCAGGTTCCCTGCTGAACAAGGAGCCCGATGTGGGACTCGATCCCAGTACCCTGGGATCATGACCTGAGCTGAAGGCAGACGCTTAACAGACTGAGCCACTCAGGTGTCCCATTGGCGTAGTTTTTTTTAAATATTTCTCATTCTTGGATATATGAGTTTATAGTTTTCATCAAATTTGGCAAATTTCCCAGACGTTATTTCTTCAAATGTTTTTTTCTATCCCCCACCTCCATTTAAGGACTTAAGTTTCAAATATTATCAGGCTGCTTGAAGTTGTCCCATAGCTCACTGATGTTCTTTTCATTTTAAAATTGTCCTTTCGGGGGCGCCTGGCTGGCTTAGCCGGTGGAGCAAAGGAGCACAAGTAGGGGGGCAGAAGGAGAGGCAGAGAGGATCTCAAGCAGACGCTGCACTGAGTGTGGAGCCCGACGTGGGGCTTGATCTCAACGACCCCTGAGATCATGACCTGAGCCGAAACCAATCAAGCCGAAACCATGATGCTTGACCAACTGTGCCATCCAGGTGCCCCAGGGTACTTCACCTCTGTCCTCTGCTCCCCGTCTTTGTCTTCAGGGCACTGCACTTGGCGGTGATTCATCAGCACGAGCCCTTCCTGGATTTCCTCCTAGGCTTCGCAGCTGGCACCGAGTACCTAGACCTGCAGAATGACCTGGGCCAGGTGAGCCACCCAGGGCCAGTACAGGGCTTGGGGCTGGGCTCTCAGTGCAACCCCTAACCCCTGCCCTCTGCCCCTGCAGACAGCCCTTCACCTGGCAGCCATCCTGGGGGAGGCGTCCACAGTGGAGAAGTTGTACGCGGCGGGTGCCGGGTTGCACGTGGCAGAGCGTGGGGGACACACAGCACTGCACCTGGCCTGCCGCATGAGGGCACATGCCTGTGCTCGCGTGCTTCTCCAGCCCCGTCCCCGGTGCGCCAGGGGAGCCCCCAACACCTACCTCGCTCATGGCCCTGACCGCACCTCTGATGCCAACCGCCCACCTGTCACCTTGTACCCCGAACCCGACTCGGAGAAGGAAGATGAAGAGAGTGAGGAGGATTGGAAGCTGCAGTTGGAGGCTGAGAACTATGAGGGTGAGGGTTCCCAGTCACTGGGCAGGGCCTGGGCTCCTGAGCAGAGTGAGAGTGCTGGGCACTGGGCTTGGTTCTCCTGACTCAAGACCCAGCCCCTTGGGAAATAATACTGAGGCTTCAGGGACCCAGGCAGGGGGAAAGGCTCCCCCTGAGGCTCCAGATTACTGACAGTCAGTCTTATGGGATTCAGGATCTGGACCACGTGGAGGCCCAAGACCACTTAGGATTCAGACCCATCACCCATAGGCCTAGAACTACTAAGATCCTATTGTTGGGCCCAGGTTCCCCAGCTGGAAGGCACAGCTCACTCCAGACCTCTCCCCCTGCCACCAAAACCATAGGTCCTAGTCTATGCAGGATGAGGGAACTCAAGGCCCAGGTTCCCAGAGATTTATACTGGGTTCCGGGACAGCCCTCAGCCAGGCCTCCTGGGAAAAAAGAGCCCATCTTCCTGGGGTCCAGGTCCTTTGTAAAATAAAGACCAGAGACTCAGTGTCCCAGTCCCAAGATCCAGGCTAACTGTCCAAAGCCCCCAGGCTCTTCACCTATAAGTCCCAGACATTCCAAAGCCAGGCACTGGCGTCGCCAGCAAGTTCTAGACCACCAAGACTTAGGCAGTGGGGGGTGCCCTTGCCTCTTTGACTTACCCAGGAATTCAGGAGCTGGACCCCAAACTCAGGCCAAGAAGCCCTCCCCTAGGACCTTGGCATTTGGGGCCCGGGCCCACCCCCATTGTCTGACACCTGTCACTCTGTCCCCAGGCCGTACCCCGCTTCACGTGGCTGTCATCCACAAAGATGCCGAGATGGTTCGGCTGCTCCGGGAGGCTGGAGCAGACCTCAACAAACCGGTGAGCTGCCCTAGGGAGAAGGAGTGGCAGGGCAGATTGTCCCCCAGAGCAGGCCAGGGCCCCTCTGACCTCTCTGCTGCTCCTCACAGGAGCCCACTTGTGGCCGGAGCCCCCTACACTTGGCAGTGGAGGCCCAAGCCGCCGATGTGCTGGAGCTCCTCCTGAGCGCAGGTGCCGACCCCGCTACCCGCATGTACGGCGGCCGTACCCCACTGGGCAGCGCCATGCTCCGGCCCAACCCCATCCTCGCCCGCCTTCTCCGTGCACATGGAGCCCCTGAGCCCGAGGATGAGGACGACAGGCCTGGCCCCTGCAGCAGCAGTAGCGACAGTGACAGCGGGGACGAGGGCGTGAGTCAGGAGGAAAGACTGGGTGGCCCAGCTGGGAGGTCAGGGTAAACGGGCAGGTGGGAAGCAGGGAGAAGGCAGCATAGTGAGACTGACCTCAGGCCGCTGCGGTCAGAGAACTCAGGCAGCGGTACCAGGGCTGTCAGCAGTCCGGGGAGCCCTGGACAGGGCTGGCGGGGAGCAGGCGGGGAGTGGTGCTTGAGAAACCTAAGGCAAAGCCAGAATGAGAACTCAGGCAGAGTTAGAGAAAAGACGTCGGTCGGAGTGACCCGTAATGGCAGTGGTTGGCAGCAGTGGCTGACAGCATAGGGAGTGACTGTGCGGAGGAAGAGTTGGAGAACTCAGGCGGCGGGAACCTGACCTCAGGCAGCAGTGATCCCAACACTGGTGACAGAGGGGAAAGACCTGAGCCAGCAGTGAGGAGGTTGTTTTGGGGAATCCAGGCAGCAGAGACACTACCCCGGTGGGGGGAGGGAAGGGCGGGGGACAAGCCTGGGGCTGGGGGGCGAGGAGTCTGGGTAGAGGCAGAGGGAGGGGCCCGAGGAGGGGCAGCCCCAGGGGCTGCGGCTGCCGAAGGTCCAGCAAAGCAGCAGAGCTGGAGCCTGAGCAGCGGGCAGGCTGTGGGAGAACATGGGTGACCTTGAACATGGTGGGTGGCAAACCAGGAGCAGGGGATTTGAATGGGGGGGAACTTGGGCTTTTCCAGGCAAGACCCAGTTGCCAGGGTGGGTGGGAGAAACGGACAGTTGGCAGGGTGATAGCCGCCTGAGCCCGTGCCTGCCCCCCCTCTGCCCCCAGGATGAATACGACGACATCGTGGTCCACAGTGGCCAGAGCCCAAACCGGCTACCTCCCACCCCAGCCTCAAAACCTCTCCCTGATGACCCTGTCTGACCTCATTGTTTATAGAGTTTCCAGTTTAATAAACTTCTCCCTGATGACCCCATCTGACCTCATTGTTAATAGAGTTTCCAGTTTAATAAAATCCCGCTTCTGATAACTAGAGACTAGACTGACGGTCGCCTTCCCAGTCTTTCAGTTTATTCCTTGGTCCCTGTCTGTCCTGGTCCCTGTCTGTCCTGGGTCCCTATCTGTCCAAAATCAAGCACCACACAAACCTCAGTGGTTTTCTTTGTGCTTTATTCACACGGAGGGGTCGGAGGGGGTGACACGGGGGGCCGGGTGTGTCCTGAGTCAGTGAGCCCAGCTCCTCTGCCCAGCTCAGGTTCAGGCCCTGGGCCCGGTCGCACAGCCCACCCTTCCCCCATGCCTGCAGGCCGGGGGACGGAGTGGGCTGTGAGGTGAGCTTTGGGGGTCCATGGTCCTAGGCCATAGGGGGTGTCAGGAGTCATCCCTCCCTCCTGATCTCCTCCCCCAGAATCTCGGTTGCCTTCTTCAGCTCCTTTCTCACGTGCTCCAGCCGCTCCATGTCATGCTCCTGGGGGGGTGGTCAGAAAGGGGTTGATCAGCAGCCACCTTCAAGGGCGGGCCACCCCAAGAGTCACCGGTGAATGTGGCCTGTGCCAGTTTGCACAACAGCAGCCAGCAGGGGTCACCCTAGTCCCCATGGACCTCGATGGGGGCCAGAGGGGGATGGCTGACGTGACCGGCTGCGCGGTCCATGTTGACTGCCTCGCCCACGGTAGCAGAGAGGACCAGGAAAGGTGCCAGGCTTGGAGGCCAGGACCCCTTTTTGAGGTGCCGGCCGTTGTGGCTACTGCCACCAGTCGTGGGGACAGCCTACTTTCCGTGACTCAGCAGTGGCATCCATTCCCGGTCCACTGGACCAAGCATGACAGCCTCTTTCCACGCGGCCACACTGCTCACCACAGACCACAGTGCTGACCGACTCAGTTCGCCGTACGTGGCCATCTCAGTCACTGTCATCTCAGCCCTCTTGACCACCTTGGTCCGACCTTGATCTTGCCTGGCTGTTACTGCCTTTCCTGCTCTCAGTCGCCATCACTAGGCTCCATTTGTGGTGGATATTGGCTATTTATGGCTCAATGCTGGTACATGTTTGGTCAGAATCCCACCCCACTGGCCCATCGCCTTCTCCACTCACCTCCCTCTCCGAAGCCTCTTCCTTCTCCTCCTGCGTGGGCTCAGCTTCTGGCTGGTGGGGGTGGTGGCGGTGCGGCGAGTCCTCGTGTCCCTCTCCTCCACCCCCCTCGGCTCCCCGCCACAGGCCGCCGCCCTCGCCTAGCACCTGCAGGCCCTTCTCCTCCGCCTCGAACTGTGCTGTCTCCTCGTCACTGGCCTGCTCTGCCACTCGCTTCTGGGGGCCCCCTCTGCCCTCTAGGTGATGCCTCCACAGGCCTTCACCTTCGAAGGATTCCATGGGCCCCCTCTTCTTCCTTTTCTCCTCCTCCTCTGCCTCCTCCTCCTCCTCCTCCTCCTCCTCCTCGTTCTCCTCGTCCTGGCGGAGTCGGCTGTGGAGCTGCTCGTGGATGGTCTGTTCCCGCACCTTAGACTTGTGGTCCCTCTCTGCCTCCTCTTCCTCTTCCCTCACTTCCTGGCTGGACCTCGTCTTCCCAGCCTCTTGCTTCTTGAAATCCCCAAGCAGTAGGTCTTTCTCTTTGGCAGACACACAGCCATAAGGCTCTGTCTGACACATTTCTGGCAGAAAGAGAGAGGACGCTCTCTGTGCTGCAAATCGGGAAACTGAGACCTGGAGTTCTGGGGTGAACCCAAGGTCCCACAGGGGGGCTGCCCAAAACTGGGAGAGGAGGGTCAAGTCCGGGGTACATTCTGTGCCGCCATCCCACACCTCTGCAGGGAACCCCACGGGTGGAGCCGGAGGCCAGGTGGACACTGCGCAGTGGTATGCCAACCTGGGCAAGGGGGCCTGGAGGAGACACCCCGTCCTCCAGGAAGCCCTGACCAAAACCCAGGGTGGGGTGGGGGCTCCCAGGAGGAACTGGGGCCTGCTTACCTTTGTGGAGGAGAGCTGTGCAGGGGCTTCTCTGGGCCTGGCCCAGCGCCAGCACTTCCGTGACCACCTCAGCCAGACAGCGAGTCAGCTGGTGAAGGGACAGAGGGGAGATTGAGGGCAGGGCGGATGGGGGAATGAGAACAGTTGGGGGTGTGGAGAGGAGATGATCATGCAGGCTGGTCAGAGGGCCAGGGTGTGGGGAAGATGAGGCAGGGCAAGGGGTCCACACTCCTCACCTCTTCCTTGGAGGATCTTGGCGCCAAGGGAGCAGCGGTGGCTGTAGAGGAAGGAGATGGGTGCTGGGCTCGGACAGCCCCCACCCCATGCTGTCCTTGGTGCTGATTCCAGGTTCAAGTGCATCCTGTTACTCACTCGTCCCCTCCCCCAGCCTACCTACCCGGTGCACCATCCCCACCTGGATAGCTCAGCCAGCAAAGTCTCTAGTCCAACCCCATTGGGTGCACCATTCCGGCCCCTGGTCCCTCAAGTCCCTGGTCCCTGAGCTGGCCGAGAAAGTCCCGTCTAGTTTCTGGCACTCACCTGCCCCCAGCAGCAGCGCCAACAGCAGGGGCAACGGCAGCAACAGCAGCACAGAGGTGGGCCCGCGGTGCTGCATGCTGGGGCGTCCTGACCAGAGTGCTCAGCGGCTGCACTGGACGGTGCGGCAGCTGCTTATAACCCGTGTCCCTGGCCCCGCAGGGGAGGAAGTGACATCACCACTGCCCCTTCCCTGCCTGCGGCCAGGTGACAGCTGTGGGGCGGCCACCTGCCCGAGATCCTCAATTATTCATGGAGACCCACGTCCTGCACCTGGTCCCCTCCAGCTAATGGCCCCTGAGCACCTGCACGGAGGGAGGGTGCGTCCCCCAGACAAACAGTCTGTTGAGCTTAACACTGTTCTGGGAGGCCCATCAGGGTTCGAATCCAGTGGCAGCCACTTGCAGATAGACCTCAGGCAACAACTTTTCCTTGGGCATTTCCTGCATCTCGAAATTTGGGTCTCCTAAACCTATTTCCCCAAAGATTGTGGCTGGGCTCTGCCTGAATCCCAGCTCCACCACTACCGGCTGTGCAGACCCAGGGAAAACTGCTGAGGGTTTTGCCGACTCTAGTGTCGGTTCCATCCTTTGTGAAATGGGGCCAGTGACTCCACAGGGAAGGCATGGCGGTAGGTGAGGAGTGCACATGGTCATTTAGACAGTGCCAGGCACTGGGAGCGACACAGGTCCCAGCCCTTTCCATCCGGGAATTTTTACTGAGCACCTACTCTATGCCCAGCCATCTTATAGAGCCTGGGGCTCCAGTAGGGGACACGCTGGCAAACTTCCCTGTGCTCTTGGCGCAGACCTTTGAGAAGGGACACACGCAACACTCACATAGGCATCAGAAAGGAGGAAATGACCGCAGACTCCCGCATCACAAGAGTGCTAGGGGCTTTTACTCTGGCTGGTCAGAGAGATCCTCTTGGAAAAGGATTATTTGGGTGAAGGCCGGAGTGATAAAATGGAGGCAGCCATGCCAGCTGGAGGGAAAGGGTAGCCAGGGAAGGGACCGGCGAGGGCAAAGGTCTGAGTCAAGACTGAGTCTGCAGAGTTCGAACAGGCAGACCTAGAGCATGACAAGAGGTCGGTTGAGGAGGAAGGCAGAGGGCAGATAATCACTTTGTGGATCCCGGGGACCGCTCTATCCTTTCCCTAAGTGAGAGGGAGTGACAGGAGGGTTCCAAGCAAGGGAGGGATGTGACCGGATAAGGGGGTCCACAGCGTCACTCTGGCTTCGTGTGGGGCCCAGGCAGCAGCAGGCAGTGAAGAGGCTGGTCAGTCACGGTGGACAGGACAGGGACGGAGCAGGAAGGAGAAAGTAAGGGCCTCTGGAGGCTTCTGGAGATATTCTGAAGGAGTGGCTGGGGTCTGCTGAAGGAAGGACTGACGGCGTGAGAGTTGAGGGTCACTGGACGGGCTGTGGCTAGAGGAGCTGGGAAGATGGTACCGTGTACTGCGAAGGGCAGAGTGAGTTCTGCCTTCGCTGAGGCTGTGCCGTCTCCTGGACCCCTCCCTGCTGCGAGAGGTGGAGATGAGGGCCAGGTGTCCCTTGTCCTAGAGCAAGGGGAGAGGACTCAGCATCCTCTTGGTTCCGGCAGTGGCCGCAGGTTGCCCTCCATGTGCTCGGGAGGTTGCTGGCCATTCCCGGCCATGGTCCCTCCAGCCACAACCCCGTGAAGGGTTCGCACCTCTGCCCAGCTGCCCGGCACCCCCGGTAAGGCGACCAGGGTCTAAACCCTTGCTCACAGATCCACAAAGGCCTTGGTTCTGACCATTTATTGGGGACTTCTGCTAAGTACTGACAGAGGGAAGGAAAAAAGGTTGGAGGCTTCTTCTCCTCCCCCCCATCCCTACAACCTTCAAGTCCCCAGATGCCCTGCTTTCTGGTGCAGGTTGGGACCATCAGTGGCGACGGGGTCACTGGCTGATTCTGGGGAAGTAGGGGAGTAAGGAAGGGGCCCAGGCACAGAGCTGACACAGAGAATGCAGATGTCAGGATGTGCTCAGGAAAATAGGTCCCAGGCTTTCAGAGTCCCCTGAGCTCCAGGAAGCAGCCACAGCCCTGCGGATGGATGAGGGTGACTCCTCAGCTCGAAACAGGCCGGCTCAGGCGCCTGGGCTTCTGGGGCTGGTTGGGGCCGATGTACTGGAGAGGCACATGGGTGGGGGCCGTGATCCGCTCGGTGCCAAGGTAGGGCTGGAGGGCAGGGGGCACAAGGACCGAGCCATCCTGGGGACAGAGCGGGCCACAGGTTGCTGCCATGGCCCCAGGCCTCCACCCTCTGCCTCCCCCAGCGCGATCCTTCCAGCCCTCACCTCCTGCTGATTGCTCTCCAGGAGGGCGATGAGGAGGCGGGGGACCGCACAGGCCGTGGCGTTCACCTGGGAGAGAGGCATGCCCGCGTCCACCTGACGGCCTCTGCTGGCCCGGGAGAGGCTGAGGTGGCACGTCCCTAGGAGGGCGGAGGCTCTGGGGAGGGCGGGGGGGGGTGCGGGTGCTCACCGTGTGGGCGAACTGCAGCTCCCCGGCCTCCTCCTGGAACATGATGTGAAGCCGGCGGCTCTGGAAGTCCGTGCAGTTGGACGCACTGGAGACCTGGGCGAGGGCGCAGGGTGGGCTGAGGGGACCAGCTGGAAGTGGAGGGGTCCTGTCCCCCCCCATCCCCACTGCACTGGAGGCTCACCTCACCAAAGCGGCCGCGGCCTGGCATCCAGGCCTCGATATCGAACTTGCGGTAGGCGGGAAGGCCCAATTCCTGGGTGGGCATGTCTAGGACGCTGCGGTAGAAGAGAAAGAAGGTCATGGTGAAGGTCAGCAGGTGAGAGGTAGAGGCACAAGGAGGTGGCAGCAGCTGTGGCAGTGGGCGTGGCGGAAGAGAAGTGGATGGAGAGGAGGGCGGGGAGGAGAAAGCAAGGGCTACTGGGATTGTAGTGGGTCCCCAGGCCAAAAGGCCACATCCCCGGGCCTCTCTGGAAGCCTGTGATGGCCGGGGTGGGGGTGGTGTGGGGCTGCCTGTAGGTCCTGCCTGAAAGGGAAGGGCTGTGCCCCCATCTCCACTCTGCCTGGGGTGCTGAGGAGCCGCATGGAGGGGCTGCAGGTGGGGCAGCACCCAGGATGGGAGCCACAAGAGAGAAGGGGTCTGGGCCCCCACACTGGGGTGCCCCATGCTGCTCAGGCCGCTGGCCCTGTCCCGTGGTCCTACACAGGATTTTACAGATGGACAGACCCTGTACATATTCCAGACATGGGGAAAAGGGGCAAGGGGAGGGGTGAGGTGAGGCTGTTCATGATTAGGGAGCACCTAGCCAGCCCGTCCCTCCTCCCGTGCCCCCACCCCACCCCGCACCGGAAGTGCAGGCCCAGCTCCATCAGGATCTCCATCTGCAGGGACAGGAACTCCTCCAGCAGCCGCGAGCTCTGCTCCAGCCCAGGGCCTGTCACCCCAAACATCTCCACCTGGGGCAGTGCAGCAGGCACAGGAGTCAGGAGGCCCGGGGTCCCTGGAGTGGCCCTCCTCCCTGGTCCTGGCCACACTGACCTTGGTGAAGTGGTGTACTCGATACAGTCCCCGTGGCTCCTTCCCTGTGTCTGTCTCGGCCCGGTAGCAGGTACTAGAACAAACCATCCTGGGGGGGAGCAGGGGAGGTGGAGTCAGGGAGGGGAGAGGGAATGTCACAGGTGGGGACAAGATCTAAAGGAACTGAGTATCACCTGATGGGCAGGTCCCTGAAGGCCACGGAGTGGTCCATGAAGTAGCCTGGGAGGAAAGGGGAACATGATGGGTCAGCCAGGGGCAACTGCTCATCCACAGGAAACCTCTGTGAGACTGAGAAAAGGGGTCCCCTCTGGTGGACACAACCTCATGGCGGGGCACATGGCTGGATCCTCACTGCACTGTTGTACAGTCAACAACCTACACAACTGTACATGTTGAGCCTGGGGTCACTGAGACATCCTCAGCAGAGAGCCGTCACCCCTAGGGTGCTCCTTGGTGTCTCCCTACAATCCCTGTTGCTCTGAGGATGCTGCATGTAACCTCACCCCTGTTGTTGCCTCCCAGCAGGTGCTTACCAGCCAGTCCCACCTCTGCTGTCCCAGCCAGGTTGAGGTCTTCAAAGCGGGAGGGGTCAATGTTGTAAATCTGGGATGGGTTGGCATTTGGTGTCATCCCACAGCCTTCCTGGGGAAGAGGCCAAGCCACAGAGGTCAGAGGACAGAGGACCTCCAGCTCCATTTTGTAGTCACAACCGCTGCTCCTCCCCAGGAAGCTTCTGGAATTGCCCTGGTCTCCCTGTTCTGGCCTGACATCCTCAACCCAGTCCCAGGGCGGCCTCTGTGGGGGAGATGGGCCCAGAACAGGGCACACAGCTGAGCATGGGGAGCACTCACAAACACAGCTCCTCGGAGAAGGTCTGGCACCGTCATGGGAGTGAAGCCCTGTGAAGAGGAAAGGGGTGGGGTGAGGGGCACAGCCAGGACCCCCACCCGGGCCCAAGCTCAGACTAGAAGAAGTGGCACTGCAGAGTGGGCCAATGGCTCCCGCCTGTCCTTCCAAAGCCCAGCCCACCTCCAAGGAAACTGAGGAAGGTCTGAGCGGTGGGCTTGGCGCTGGCTCCGGAACCCTGGTGTCCCTGTCACTGGGCCCTCTCTGCTGGGGCTTCACAGTTTCCTCGCTCAGTTCAGCCCACACAGGGTAGCGGGAGGTGTAGTGACAGCTTTCTGTGGCTCTCCAGTGCCCCTGGGAAATGTCCAAGTCCCTCACCGCCGCCCACACCCCATGCCTCCAGCCCCTGCCAACCCCTCCCAGTTCAGCAACACCACATTTCCCCGACACTCCCTTTATGCTACAGGCAGGCGGTGAGGTGGTGGACACAGGCTCTAGGGCCAGCCCCAGGCAGCAGCCCCGAGATCCTGGGCTAGTTACGCCCTCTCCAAGCCTTAATTTCTCCATCTCTGAAGTGGGGATAACAATGGCATCTACCTCCTACCCCTGCTCTAAGAACTAAATGTGTTAATTTTATGTAAAGCTCTGTAAACAGCAGCTAGAGCAAAGGTGACCCCCCCTGCCCCACCTCCCCACCTTGAGCCTCTCCGTCAGCGTCCACATCACCCCCTCCAGGCAGCCCTCCCATCCCAGCCCATACCCGCTGGATAAGCTTGTTGAGTGTGAAGTTGACCAGGCTGTGCTGCAGGAGGGCTCCAGCCCCTCGGAGGTAGTAGGAGCGGTGGCCGGATACGTGGGACAGGCGCCTGAGACAGATGGGCAGACAGGCGGGTGCATGTGGGCTGGGGCTGGTGGGGGACGAGGGCAGTTCTTCTGCACCCCCAGGGCAGAGGCCAGCTGCCAGGCGGGGGAATGGGCATCAAACATTCATGCGAAGTGAGGCCCCGGACACAGTGTTAAGCAGCTGCTGGGGCGTGGAGGGTGGGCTGGAGGGGCCGGCGGGCGGGACTCACTTCTGACGGATGATGTCGAGTTTCTCTGCGATTTCCAGGTGGCCCCGGGGTTGGAAGGAGAAAGCTGGATCAGGATGAAAAGCAGGGGGGTAAGGGTTGTGGGGAGAGACATGGAACAGGGACAGAGAGAGGATTAGAGAGACGCAGGAATGAGCAGCAGAAAGACAGGCAGGGAGAGAAAGGGAACCGGGTGGCGGCAGAGACAGGACTAGCAAAGGGCGAGAGAGATGGAGAAACACAGGAAGCAGAGGTGGAAAAGGAGAGAGAGGGCAAAGGGAAGAAAACATTAGGAAGAAGCAAGGAAGAGGGAGGGGGGCAGAGAGCCAGAGCCAGACGGGAGTTGGGGAGGAAAACCCAAGGGAATCAGGGGCCAATGCGGGGCAGGGACAGACTGCCATGGACACAGAGACAGGATGGGAGGCCGGAGGAGGGGCACACAGGACCTCTACAGGCCCCAGCTGCATCCCAGACCCTGCAGGCCCCACCCTAGACTGGGGTTCCCAGAGCCGGTGGGGTGCCCCACCTGGCTTGTCTCCGACCACGTGGAGCACTCGGGCCTGGCTCTCGTCCCCGACGGGCTGCAGAGACACAGCAGGAGTCACAGGGGAGGTGGTCTCAAGGGCCCCCGGGCCCCCTGAGCACCCAGCACAGTGCTCACCACGTCTGGGTGGGTCCGGTTGGGCAGCCTCAGTGCCCGCAGGAAGAAATCCTCCTCAAGCTGGGTCTCCTTGGGGTATAGGACCATGAGCAGCTTGCGGATCTCCCGGCCACGTGCCCGCAGGCTCTGATACTGGGGGTCCTGGGGACAGGGGCAGGTGGGGTTGGCCCAGAAAAGGGCAGGGGTCCCTCGAACCAGTCTGACCTTGAGCCTTGCTGGCAGAACCTCTGTGGAGGATACTCACTGTCCCTTTGGCCCGACATCCTGAATTTCCTTTTGGGAAATTCCCTCCCTTCACCTCACCACCATGTGGCCTGTCCAGAGGGTCATGACTCAGGCCTGGCCTTCCAGAACATTCCACGGCCTTGGCCACAGTGACTGGCTCAAAGACAGGCACATGACCCAAACCCCAGGACTATGGGTGTAGCTCTCAGGGAAGTGGTCCTCTTTGTGCCCCACCCTGGCTCCCCTTTCTCTAAGGGGAAAAGGTTGGTCTGGGAATGAGAGGGAAGCAGAGCCAAATATGGAGCCAGGACCCGGAGCCGGTCTTTCGTCTTGTGAATCAGCACATTCACTTG